GACTAGAAGACCTCCAAAGTCCCTTCCAACTCTGTTATTGTATTCTGTTCTAATTACTGTTGTCCTCAACTTACAACCATTAGTTTAGTTTGAAGCTACGGCACTGAAAAAGATGATTTATGGCAATGGTTCTCAACCTTTTTATACGGCGACCCCCGGTCACACGGACGCGTGGCGCATGCGCAGTGCGCATGCGCGGCGGCGCCCCCTGAGGGGGAAAAATGGTGGATCGCGTTGTTTGGCGACCCCCGTAAAATGGTCGTTCGACCCCAAATGGGGTCGCGACCCGTAGGTTGAGAACCGCTGATTTATGGTCAGTCCTTGCACTTATGACAATCGCAGCCTCCCCCACGATCATGTGATCAAAATTTGGACACTTGGCCACCACTTGTATTTACAATGGCTGCAGAATCTTGGGATCACGTAATTGTTTTTTGTAAGCTTTGCATCTGGCTTTAGACAAGCTAAGTCAACGGGGGAAGCCAAATTCGCTTAATATTCAAATAACAAATAATGAATATCAATTGAATTAGAACTCATTCAGACAGGGCAAGAACTGGCAGCGTGGGCTCCTGAGCACCAGTGAATCAGTGGACACCTCCTTTGGTGCCTCGTGGGCTCCATGTTTTACCTTGTTATTGTTTGATTCTTATAATTAATTAAAAAAAAACCACATAGTACTAGCCTCCAATTATCCTCCCTTTTCACAAAGACCTCTGGCCCTATGTGGTCCTATAATTAGGCAATAAAACTGGCAAATTGCTCCAACACAGAGGATTGCTTGGAAGTGTGCCTAGAAGACCAAATTCTTGAGAAGCTGTTGAGAAGCAGCTTCAACATTTTGCCTCTTGGAAATGGGTGCTGTTGGCCTCAAAAAGAGGACAGTCCTTCTCACGACAGCACAACACAGCACAACAATTCTGAGAGAGCACCTCAAACATCTTCCAAATTTGCTCAATGGGCCCCAACATTGGAAGGTTCCTAAGTAGAGTTTAATCAATCAAAGTTTTATCAAAAGGAATAGCTTACCTCCCAGAATTGTGGGTGCTGTGTCACTGGAGGTTTTAAACAATGGATTGAACAACCATTTGACTGTGATGATATAAAACTCCTGCCTTGAGCGGGGGGGGGGGCAAGAGGGGGGCTGGCTAAGAAGACCTCAAAGGTCCTTTCCAACCCTATCATTCTATGTTTGGCCATTGTTTACTCAGGATAATAGAGGTGGAAGGGACTTTGGAGGTCTTCTAGTCTAACCCCCTGCATATCAGACAAATAGCTATCCAACTGCTTTGTGAAAACTTCCAGTGAGGGAGTACCCACAACCTCTGGAAGCAAGCCATGCCACTGATTAATTGTTCTCACTGTCAGGAAATTTCTCCTTAATTCTAAGTTGGATATTTCCTTGATAAGTTTCCATCCATTGTTTCTTGTCTTGCTTCTTCTTTGTGGCAGCCCCTTAAATATTGGAACACTGCTGTCTGTCACCCCTAATCCTTCTTTTCATTAGAGTAGACATACCCAATTCCTGCAACTGCTCTTCATGTGTTTTAGCTCCTGGGAAGAATTTTACTCCTGGGAAGAGATTGGGAACCAACACTCAGCCCTGGCAGAACTTCCTTGTTGGTGTTAAGGTCCTTGTGATTTTATAAGCCATTTCTTTAGGATTATGCTTTCTGTCAGGTGAGGAGAACCGAAACCCATAAAAATTTCCTTCTTCTGACTAATATCTGCCCTGAGGTTGCCAAACCTTGCAGAACAGGAGATGGATATTAATTTTTTTTGCTGGTTGGTAATTTTCTGAATTAGAGACAAGCTTTTGAGAGCCAACAAAATAAAAAGCTCATAGTACTAAGCAGATGCTTGTCTGTACCTGTAAGATCCAGACATTTGAATCAAGAAGAAGAAAAAAAATCCCTCAAGATAGTGTGGGATAGGGGTCACCCTTTCAGAACACATGGAACTTGGTTACTGCATCAATTGCCTCATTTTGTATCTTCCTACAAGTCATGGAAACATAAAATAACCAAACAAGTGGAAATTACCCACCATGCTATATCATGGTAGTCTTAACTGAGATTAAAAGTAATCAAGCTGAGCTTGTTGTGTGCAGTCAGGCAGATCTTTAACTAACCAGGTTAAACACGTTGGGCCACTCCATGGCGAAGGTTTTGACACAGAATAATCATTTCACAAAACACCAACTGAAGCAGAGTTTATTATTTCACAATTAGTCCATATTTTTTCTTTTAAAGAGTTCGGAAAGAGAAATGATCTTTTTAAACCAGAGTTTCCTGATCTTGGCAACTTCTATCATGGTGGCCTTCAACTCCCAATTTTTTTCAGTAGGTGCTTCCTGGCTGGGGAATTCTGGGAATTGAACTTGGTGTAACTGGAGGTGGCCCTGTTTGGGATAACACTACTTTAGTCAATTCTATACATGTGCAGTGACACCAAGGTGAATTCCAGTGTGGGTCCGCCATATTTGCACATCTCTAATTTTGCACCATTAGCTGTAACCAATTCAGAGACTGAATGATAGGATGTGCCTGTCTTACTCCCAACATCTTTGCAAGTGGTTCGGTTTTCTGGATCTGTACAAGACATGGAGGCACATATTAAATCAGTGTGTGTGTGTATGTATGTGAGAGTCTGAGAGACAGATTAAAGCACTAAAGGAAATTAATGAAGTTTAGCATCTAATATGAATGCAACCACAAGCTTTGTAACTTACCTGGCTAAGCATGGTATATGATCACGTAGCCAATAGTCACTCCCTATTTGCAACATTGGCACTGTGCTTTGTGTAAGAATTAAGCCTATCACACCTGAGGATGCTTGCCAAGATACCAGATTCTCATGTCAGTTTGTCAGTCCATCCTGCTCTACCTGTTGTCCCCCCCCCCACTTCACTGAGGATTGATGTCTGATGACTGGAAGATAAATGGTTGGTGAGGCTACAGTTTTATAAGCATCTGCAAATGCAGCTCTGTTCAAGTCTCCATCTTGCCTTTTATGTGTGCAGTCTCTTCTTCCAAGAGGGGATTGAAAGGAAAAACATGATATTTCTGCTTTGTGCACAGTGATTTTTATTTCCTAAGATGGCAACTCTGCACTCCTGCAGTACAGAGACCAATCCTCTATCTTGGGGAACAAGCATCAGGATATTGCCAGAACTCAGATTTTCATAGGGAGTGAAAATCTCAACGACAATCCTAAGTGCCAGAAGCATCTCGTCTGGTGTCTCTATACAGCGGTGGTGGTGGTGAATTATTTGATCCCCTGCTGATTCTGTACATTTGCCCACTGAGAAAAGAAATGATCAGTCTATAATTTTAATGGTAGGTTTATTTTAACAGTGAGAGACAGAATAACAACAAACAAATGCTGGCTCGGGAATTCTGGGAGTTGAAGTCCACGAATCATAAAAGAGCCAAGGTTGCCTACCCCTGCCCTACATCATTCCAGACAAATGGCTGTCCAGTCTCTTCTTAAAAGCCTCTAGTGATGGAGCACCCACAACTTCTGAAGGGAAGCCATTCCACTGGTTAATTGTTCTCACTGTCAGGAAATTTCTCCTTATTTCCAGAGTGGATCTCTTGCTAAGTTTCCATCCATTGTTTCTTATCTTGCGTTCTGGTCATTCTATGCTTATAGTTTTAATTTAACAATACATTGTATTGTTACTCCATTTTAGCTTTCAGGAGACCTCATATTCTTTGATTGCTCTTGAAAAGTGGGTCAGCTTTATACTTTTTAATTCTGATATACGTTCATGGGTTTATGTGTGAAAAGACATAGACATTTAATACATACATATATGCTGTAAAACCAAAATATTGACAATCACGACAATAATTACGGATTACGGAGCCCAGAGAAAGCATATTGTATTATTACACAATATGTAATAAGTTTTATTATGGTCACAGATCGGCATTTACAACAACATGACTATAAAAAGGCATATATTTTTTTGGCAGAGGAATGGAATATTTTATCACTGTGGGAGGGAAGGAACCCTTGTAGGTATATTACTGTACTTTCCGGAGGAATTGTTGCAGACAAGCAGAACAAGAAACGTGACTATACCAAAGCTAGTGAAACTAGCTGTTCTATTGTTTGGTTTCCTGAGAAATCTCTATCATCTGGAAAAAAAAAAAAGATGATAAAGAGGCTTTTCCAAAGGAATCAAACTGAATTAAGCACAACAATTGTTCCTTTAATTGTCACGTGCCCAGAGTCATTTTCAGTGATATGGGCGGCTATATAAATCTGATTAACAAATAAATAATAAATCCCCTTCTCCACCCCCCTCTAGACTAAAGCAATGTTTCTCAACCACAGCAATTTTAAGAAGTGTGGCCTTCAACTCCCAGAATTCTAAAGAAGCTTCTTGAATGAAAAGCGAAATGTCTTCAAAGAAAAACAAGAAAGTCCAGTTGCCTAGTGAAAAATAGCATCTTTGGGTTTGCCATTGTCTTCTTCTGGCAGGTTTCTCCCAGTGCATCCTAGACTTGTAGGATTTCCTGGTGGTGCTCGATCCGGGCCCTATTGAAATCTAGTCCTGCTCAGCCATTTCAAGCTCAGCTGCAGGCTGCCCTTGTGCCTCTCCTGAGGACAGCACAAAAAATCTGCCTTGGTCCTGCCTCATTTTTGGATAGGATTTTTGCGTGGCCTCCCATCCCAGCGGCTCCCAGGATGGGTCCTGCCAATCACGACGTTGCTCCCTGCAGAGAAACCCCCGCAATCGGTGCTTTCCAAAACAGCGAGTCCAAACCAGGCCCGATAGCCTCCCCGCCCTAGAATCCTAAATCTTTCAAACGTGGGAAGGCGGAAGGGGCTGAATCCACCTCCATCTTCCCCGAGCCGCGATGTGGGCGCTGCCCTGGCCGCTCCCAGACTACAACTCCCATCCTCCTCGGCCGGCGGGGGGGGGGTTAATGGGAGTAGAATTTCGGGAGGGGACGGGGCGGGAAAGGGGGAGTATTACTTTAGCGCCCGCAAGCGAGGCTGCTTTCCTCCTCCCAGGCCCGGCTTGCGGCCTGCTGCGGTTTCCATAGCAACGACTCCTTCCTTCGCCTAGCGGGCAGCCCGGAAAGGCCCAGGCCGGCATCCGCCGACTCTGCCGCCGCCATGCTCGTGCCGGTCTTCAGCCTGAAGCTCAGCCACAAAATCCTGCCCCGCGGCGTGGCGCTGGGCAGGTACGACGGAACCCACCCGTGCCTGACGGCGGCCACGCAGGCCGGCAAGGTAGCCCAACTCCGCCCGGGGAGCTGGGGCGCATGGGAGGGGGAGTCCCCCGCCTTGGACGCCCGCCCCACTTTGTAGCCTCGCCGACGCTTCCTGGGGCGTATCGAGGTGGGGGCAATTTTATATCGGGGGTAATTCCCCCGCCTGTGTTTGTATTGACCTATTTATTTCTGACTCAATAAATATAAATCCTAGGTGTATGCAGATTACAGTGCACGTTTTATAAAAGACATATTTGCGTTTTATAATTTGCACGCCAAAACCACCAGACACAAAGACAGTTCCCCCCCCCCCATGCCATCACTCTGCTAAACGACTAATTCCCACAACGCTGTTTATGCCCTGGAATGTGAAACTACTTAGTAGGGCTGTTTACCTAGGTATTATCCTTCTCATCTTTTCATCTTTCCTATTGCTTGCTTCCTTAGTTTCTTATGACTATAACTTTGTTGTTCATATCTCATGATCTATGTTGATTGCCTTTATTTAGTATCCTATTATGATTTGGGCTGTTTGCTTATTTAGTATCCTGTGACTGAGTTTTTTCTTATGATTTATGATTGTTGTATTTTATGATGAAGATCATAGTTTATCAGTTGTTTCTTGTATTACACTGAGAGCTTATGCACTGGACACAAATTCCTTGTGAATGTCCAATCACAATTGGCCAATAAAAATATTCTATTCTATTCTATTCTATTCTATTCTATTCTATTCTATTCTATTCTATTCTATTCTATTCTATTCTATTCTATTCTATTCTATTCTATTCCATTCCATTCCATTCCATTCCATTCCTACCCTTACCCCTACCCCTAAAAACGGATGGAAGATGTGGGTTGTATTTAGCATTTTCCAATTTCAACCAGTTTCAGTCAATTTCACCCAGGCGTTGCTGCTTGAAGAATTCTGGGAAATGAAGTCCATACATCTGGCAGGTGTCCATGTTGGCCAAGGCTGCTGCTTTGTTTTATGTCCATTAAACAGGTCTGTGGACATGGTTAACAATGACGAGAGAGGGTCAGTGAGCAAGGCACCTTCTGACCTTTTTCCATGCAACACACATTTGAAAGGGGCAAAGTTTTGACTGGTTGCACCTTCATTTTGACCTGTTGCTGGCAGAAGACCCTGGTCCTCATATCACCTGCATATTGATCATATATATTGACAAATGATGATATATGCCATCTACGACAATGAGAACAATCAATCAGTGGATCAGCTTGCCTCCAGAAGTTGTGGGTGTTCCATCTCTGGAGGTTTTCGAGAAAAGATTGAACAGCCATTTGTCTAAGATGATGCATTGTAGGGTCTCCTGCTTGATCAGGAGGTTGAACTAGAAGACCTCCAAGATCCGTTCCAATTCTGGTATTCTGTGTCCTGTATCTGCTATGGAGCTGATGCCCATAGAGGTGGACACTATTCCTCAAAGAGAAGTTATCTACTGAATTCTCCTTTGACCTGCAACCGAATCCTTCATCCCACTGGATGAAGCCTAGGGCCTCTGACTATCCTCCTCCAGAGGACGTCTCCTATCATTCAAGGATAAGCAGATTGCTACCCAGACACTATCAGCTGGGGATACCTGGTATATGTAGGAATACATTGGAGTCTACATTATTTTGGAATTATTGTGACTTGTGGAACTCACCATGAAAGCAACTTGTATTGCTGCCAATGCTTTGTTTAATATCAACAGGTTTTTATTCACAATCCTCATGGACGTGGACAGCACACGAATGCAAACCGCTTAGCACTAAGTAGCCAGGAGGCTGATATTTCTTTGCTGAACATCAATGAAGCTGTCAGTTGTTTGACTGCAGGGATGTTGAACCCTGATCTTGGCTGTGATTCCCTCCTAGTTGGCACACGGACCAGTTTGTTGGCATACGACGTACACAACAATGCTGATTTGTTTTATGCTGGGGTAAGTTCATCCCCTTCCCAGGATTACACGTCAATGGTGCTCGAATACACCGTTTGTATTCAGGAAAAAAAATGGATAAACTTCACAGAAAATGTGGAGGCTTCATAGACAAAATCCAAAGTGAAATGATATGGTCCCAAGTTTTTAGGATGCATATTTTATGTCCCAAAAGGCATTCCAAATTACTTTGGTTGGAATCGGTGAAGTTAGAATTTGTTTTTTGTCCTTTCAATACATAATTTAATAGTACACACCAGCTGGCTTTTAGCATCATGATTAGTGAACGACAACTTTAGATCAATGTGGAGTAAGTCCCCGGAAGACTTTTTTCTGTTTTGTGATTTAGGCTTTGCCTTGCTCAAAGAGTCATTAAGCATTTGATCCAGGATTGTCTCTTCAAAGGGACCACTGTAATTATCTAGCCCCTTCTATGAAAGAAGCATTAATGATAGTTTTGTTCTTGTTGATTTCCTCTCCATATGACAATGGCAAAATACCTTTGAGCATTTATTTTAGCCTGACTAAATGCCTTACCATCATCCTTGCTAATAGGCAATTATCAAACTTTTGACCAGTTTTGTAAGATGGTGAGGGTAGAAATGAAGGTCCAACTTTCCTAGTGTAGCCAATACACTATGTTACATTTTGGCTAAACCTAACACAGTGTAGCAAATGTATTTACTACACCACCTTATGTTTATTTTTAAAACCAATCTCTCAAGTGTTCTGCTCTAGAAATTGTGGGGAAACGTCTGAATGCTCCAATTTATCTCACATGTTTTCTGGGTATCTTTATTTGCAGGTGAAGAATTCATTGATTTCTCTGCTGTTTCCCCGTAGGTTCCCGATGGAGCAAACTCTATAGCCGTAGGAACGTTGGGAGACATTTCCTGCCCCTTAGCAATTATTGGCGGAAACTGTTCTCTGCAGGGCTTTAATTATGAAGGAAAAGATCTGTTCTGGACGGTGAGTGTGCCTATATTATAGGGTGCTTTGGGTGCCTATAGCTTTATTTATCTTCATAACAAAAGCTATTATTATTATTTCAGTTTTTAGAAAGGGAGCCCACCGATCCTTTCAAGATTACACGTGGAGCGTTGAGGCTAAAGTAACTTGCTGAGGCTTGAGGGATTTTATAGCGAGCAGAGGGTGGCATTGAGAGCTCAACCAAAGACCCTCTAAGACCACCCCCACCAACATTGTGAGGGAAAGACACTAGAATATAAAGTGAGAGCAAACCTCACTCCCTACCAGCACTGATGATGTTACCTACAGTAGTTGGGTAATGAAACGCCTACAAGAAAACCCCCAAGCTCAGAGAGCACCTAGGACCCCACAGTCCTTTTACTTCCTCCTCTTCCTCCTCCTCCTCCTCCTCCCTGCAAACCCCACTCCTTACTAACACTGATGATGTTACCTAGTTGGGTAAAGAAACGTCTGCAAGAAAACCCCCAAGCTTGGAGAGCACCAGTGATCCCACAGATCTTGATGCTTTATGTCCAAATAACTAGCATCATTAATTTTTTTTCTGACGTTACTTCTTTTTTTGTCAAGTTGAAACTAAGAAATACTTTTTTAAAAATACAATTACAGGTCACTGGTGACAATGTTCGTGCTCTCGCCTTTTGTGACTTTGACGGTGATGGGAAAAAAGAGGTAGGTTTGTGGCAAGTGGTGTGTGCATGGACTTACACTTTCATTGTACGACAGGTAGTCCTCAACATACGCCCAAAATTGAGCCCAAGATTTCTGTTGCTAAGTAAGACCTTTGTTAAGTGAATCTGGCTTCCCCCATTGACTTTGCTTGTCAGAAGGTCGCAAAAACTGATCATGTGATGCCAGGATACGGCAATCGTCATACGAGTCAAGGGCCAAGCGTCTAAATTTTGATCACGTGACCATGGGGCTTTTGCAACAAGACATAACTGTCAAAAATGGTCATAAGTCACCTTTCTCAGTGCCGTTGGAACTTTGAACAGTCACTAAACACACTGTAAGTTGAGGACTACTTATAGTTCATATTGCATTTGTTGTATTTTAGACATTTGAGGGATTACTGTACTGAGGGAACGGTTTGGGGTTGAAGACGGGCACCCATATTGGAGCAGATGAATTTTTGAAGAATATCTCGACTAATGCTTTCATGTTTTCAATTGAAGAAAATACCCAAGTCGCTAGTCATTAGGAAAAGATCCCTGAAGGGAAATCCACAAGGTCTTGTAAGTTCAGTCCAAGCACACAGCTTCCTTGGCTGCAGCGCGTGCATTACACCCCTCTTTTCTTTTCAGAATCAGAGCCAATTCTCCAGTTCCCCTTTCATGTACGTCCTATGTCTGGCTACTTGGGATGACATGTCCTAAGGGCTTTCCCAGCCCAGCCTCCTCCCAAAGCAGGAATGCCAGACGATTTGCTGGAAGGAGGGTCATGCGTGTAAGGACGAAGAACTGCTCTCGTGTGCCCCTAGGCGAGGGGAGTCGGTCCTTTTAATCCATATTTTGCGTGCCCTAAGTCGGTGTTTCTCAACTACAAGATGCGTGGACTTGATCTCCCCGAATTCCCCAGCTAGCGTGCTGACTAGGCAATTCTGAGAGTTGAAGTCCACAGATCTTTAAATTGCGAGGGTTGAGAAACACTGCCCTAAGTTATATTTGCTCTTGGGATGTGCACCTTAGCGGCTGAAGCTGAAGTTTGATCTAGAATCTATTTCAGCAATCATTGTGGGACTTGAAGGAGAGTTCAGCCAAGACCGTTTTTCCTGGTTCCCTGCCTACATCATAAATCGGACCATTCATCTAATCAGGAGATAACGTGACCTTACCTGCAGCACTTTCTAGAATATATTTTAATGTGTTGTATTGAAGCTCTGTGTTAGGCACCCGTTCCTGTGCTGGTGCTCTCAAGTGGTTTTTTTGGCTTCAGCTGCCATCATTCCTAACCATAAAATATCAGGATGTCTAGAAATCAACAAGCCAGATCATGTTAAGGTTTCTCCTGTTTTGGCAGCTGGAAGAGCAAATTAATGAAAATAAAATGTGGTCTGTTAAATGCTTGATGGTTTCTCTCTCTCTCTCTCTCCCTCGCCCCCCCCCCAATAGCTTATTGTTGGATCTGAGGATTTTGATATTAGGGTTTTTAAAGAAGACGAGATTGTGGCGGAAATGTCTGAGACTGAGGTAAGGGGAGAGAAATTAAATACTAAAACTATCTTTATGTGGTTATTCTGTTTGGTGCGGGGATCCAATTTAGACAGAACGATTGGAGAAATGTGAAGTTCTGACATTTTGGAATCTTTTTTGCCGTGCAGCAGTCTTCAAATAGATGAAAACCGCATTTTATCACTCAGCATATTCAAAAGTTTTCCTCTAGGCCTGCTTTGCTGTTCTCTTTTTTAGCTGAGCTCTTTTTTGACAGGTTACTAGAAATTGGACCTGAATCAAATAATTTCATTCAATACCAAATGAAAGACGTGGAAAAATAGATTTAGGAGAAAGAGATGATAATGGTAGCAGTAATTTTATTATTATTATTATACATTGGAGTGCAGCGATGTTGCCTTTTTCAGAAGATCCTCTGCCTTCCTCCAGTCTGTTAAGGCTCCTTGAAAAGAGAATACAGGTAATCCTCCATTTACAATGCTTCGTTTAGTGACTGTTCCAAGTTACAACAGCACTGGAAAAAAAAAGACTTATGACTGTTTTTCACACGACTGTTGCAGCATCCCCATAGTCATGTGATCAAAATTGGCAACTGACTCATATTTATGACGGTTGCAGCATCCCAGGGTCCTGCCCCCCCCCGCCAACTCTTGCCAGGCAGCATTCTTCGCATCTGCAACAGAAAACATCTTGGCGACCAGAAGTTGGAGAATAAACAGAGTTTAATATTTTTGGGGGGTTGAGGGCTATGCTAAGCTTTCTGTAGCAAGATCAGAAGCACACTCCAAAGAGAGGCAAGGCCAGGTCGACCATTAATTCACATTTAATTTAATTGCATTAAGTTTAATGAAAACTAATAGAGATGAATTATGACTGCCAGCATGATTATTCATTTCATTGGTCTGTGACAGTCAGATTTAGTTGGGTAGCTACTTTGGAGGGCCTCTGAGGGCTGCACTAAGGGCTGTGTGTAACCTGAGGCCTCGGGTTGTGCATCCTAGGGTTAGGGACACAACAGGGTATTCATATTCTGCAGGCTTATGAAGTCAGACAGCGATGTAGCAACACAACATGCTATTTATTCCTGCTGCCAAAAAAGCTATGCAGTCCTGGGCTGCATCCACAGAGAGGGATCGTTTCAAGATCATGCAAAGTACCATTTGGCATTGCCCTGGTGGGCCCACGTTTGAAATACTGTGTCCAGTTTTGGTCACCGTGGTACAAAAAAAGGATGTTGAGATTCTAGAAAGAGTACAGAGAAGAGCAACCAAGAGAACAAAGAGTTTGAAGGCTAAATCATATGATGAATAACAAAGGGACTGTTATTCCTTTGCAATTCACCAGAATACTCCAAGTGAGAAATGATCAGAATGTGGAGAACTGCAGCTTCCCCCCCCCCCAGCTAGGATCGCAGCGGCTCACTTACTCTAATGCAGGGGTCTTCAAACTTGGCAACTTTAAGACTTGTGGACTTCAACTCCCAGAATTCCTCAGCCAGCCAGGTGACTGAAGTAGAGATGAGAACACACACTGTTCGTGGATGGAATTTTGGCGTTAAACACAGCAAGACACAAATAGTTTCTCTCCCCCCCCCCCTTTCTGGAAATAATTTGGCTCTGTTGTTAACATTTAATGACATGGAATATTGTTCCTGCCCCAACAAGCTCTTTTGATGCTAACTCCAGTAAAATACCACTTTGCCAGAGGTATTTTTTCCACTGGGAAAAAATCTTTTTTTTGGGGGGGGGGTGTTTGTATGTATTTCCCACGATTTCTTTCATTGGTTCCGTTTTAGTTCCTGAGAAACGGTTTGGGTTCATTTAGTAATTCTCGTAATATTCTTTCTTACATCTTAAAGAGGGCTCGGCACAATTGCTTTATTTTGCTTTTTACTGGCTTTCTGAGATCCAGCCATTGGTGCCTTGTGCAAAAGGCATATTCCCAAGAATGTGGCTTCCCCTTGACTTTGAATGTCAGAAGGTCACAAAAGTGATCACATGACCCCGGAACAATGCAACTGTCACAAATATATGCCAGTTGCCCAGCGTCTTGATTTTTTTTTATCACACGACCACAGAGATGCTGCAACAGTCGTAAGTGTGAAAAACAGTCATAAGTCTTCTCAGTGCCGTTGTAACTTTGAATGATCTCTAAACAAACTGTTGAAAGTCAAGGATTACCTGTGTTGTATTTTCTTACCAGGAAAATCATATAACTCAGAAGCAATATAGTTTTGTTTTTGAAAATGAAAAGAGATCTCGGACTTCTTTGTGTTTCATAACAGGCAGGCAGAGGGCTGGATTTGGCCCAGTGCTTACCTCTGCCTCGAAGAAATTACCCCTCTCCTGGGCTGCCCCTTCTCAGCTGCTCTCCGTTGCCTTGGTTTTAGGACGGCAACTTCAAGCCAATTTGAAATGTGGAAGAAAAACTTTGGCTGCTTCCAGACTAAGGGCTTTTAGTGCTAACAGAAATGATTAGGGAATATTCTGACTTCTCCATCCACCTATCCTCCTCTTTCCATGGAGTTTTGACAGTAAGAACAAACAGGGAAGAAGGCAGTGGGGGGGGGGAACCTTGGTGCATAACAGATGTAAATCATGACCTCTGGAGCCCTTGTAAAGTTTTACGAATGATGTCAAATGAATAAAATATTAAATAAAATAAATCACAACAAAACATCTCGGAGCCTTCCGCATTACAGCTGGATACAGCGCTAGCCAAATCTTCGGTGCAGGTGTGGGTACTGGGAAGGTGAATATCACTGAGACTGGGATCATGCCAAACCATTCTTAATTTAATGGGCCCGAATACTGTAACTGCCAATATTGCTCTGATTTCGCTGAAGGCAGTTTTATTCCATAGAAATAGTTGGCTTAATTATTTAGTTTAACAACAGCTGTTGACCTTCCTTTCTTTTCTAGATTGTCACGGCCCTAACTACGATGAGCCCCGCTCGCTTTGGCTATGCGCTGGCTAATGGCACGGTGGGCATTTACAACCAGGCCGCGCGCTACTGGAGGATTAAAGTTAGTATGATCAAATTGGAGACGTCAGAACAGCTGGAATATCCAGCACTGAAAAATGTACATTTGCCTTCACCGGGAGTCTGCAGAGGAGGTTAAAAAGGTCCAGATGGCAGCCACTAGTGTGGAATTTTGATGCGTTTTTATGTGCATTGAGGACTTTCATCCTATGGTTATAGTTGCCATCTTCTTTTTGCCACAACATGGAAGATCTTCTCCCTCTTCCTCCTCTTCCATTCAGTTTGGACACTGTCCAGTTCTGATGGGGTGACGTAAACAAACGCAGGGGCCTAGAACGTGCGAGCTAGAAAGGATGTTTTAGTTCATCTGTCACAACATTTTACTCAAAGTTAACATTAATCATGTGCTATTGCTATTCTAAACTTGGTTTGTTGAGAATTTCGCATTCTTGACCGATACGTAACCGGTAGCTATAAGCAAGTTGAAGATCGAACTCCGGTGGTATGATACATCACTTTGAGGCAAAAACTTCATCTGTTCGGGGAAAATAATAGCCAAGGTCCTTGAACTCTTGTTTAGAGTCAAGACTGAATCCAGAGTCAGAACAGTGTCTTATCTTGATTAGTTTCCTGCATCAGTATCTCTCCACTAGATGTGTGAAAATGTTAGGGTTAATACCTAGAAGTATTAATGCAGCAACCCACGATCTTTTGGGCGCCAGGAACCAGTTCGGAGCTTTGCTTGTTTGCGGCTCAGTTTCTGGCATGCTGCAGCCTGGTGCCGGTCCACAGACTGGGGATTTGGGACCCCTGTATTGCTGATAGGATTGATTGGAAGAAGCTGGCTGCCCTAGGCACTTCGCGCGAAAGGGACCAGTAATGGTGATGATACCAAGAAGTGACCTGCTTGCTCCCCATTTTTCTCCCCAGTCTAAAAATCAGGCGATGTGCATCAGTGCCTTTGACATTAATTCCGACGGCGTCTGCGAATTGATAACTGGCTGGTCCAGCGGGAAGGTAAGTATAAAGAAGATTGTATATTTAACTTTCTTCCCTGCTTCTTTCCTAAAGATTAAACTGCTGGTCTGGTTTAGAATTCTACTGGCGTTGCAGAATATTATCAATGGCTGCCACCAGAACAGTGGACCGTATTAGAGCAGATATGAAGAAGCAATGTTTAGTTTAGCTATTTTTTTGAAAATTGTTTTGCCCCTTTTCAAGGTGTGTGCGCTGCAGATCGTGGAATAACTGCAACGGAACTAAATGTACAGAAAGCAAAAGAAAGATTAGGTTGTTGAACCAGGGGTTGTTCTGGATTTCTACCAACTCGGTTTGACTGAGACGTTTTACAGAAAATGTATATTCTTTTAATTTTTGTTAAAAAAATTGATCTGTGGTCTTTCCCACTTTTAATGCTGTCTGGGGAATGTCTGTGTTGCAGATCGACGCACGCAGCGATCGAACCGGAGAAGTCATTTTCAAGGACAACTTTGCTTCTTCCATTGCGGGAATTGTGCAGGGAGATTACAGAATGGATGGAAGTACACAGCTGATCTGCTGCTCAGTTGACGGTGAAGGTAAATTCCTTCGCCATTTCAAGGCTTTTTTCATTTACAAGGAGTGGGAACAATGCTAGTGGCTGTACTAAAGCAGAAATGCTGCCCCAAGAACAATCTGGATCTTTCAAGCCCTGTCTAAGACCAGCATGTGGTGTGTGTGTGTGTGTGTGTGTGTGAGAGAGAGAGAGAGAGAGAGAGAGAGAAGGGGAGAGAGAGAGAAAGAAATGATTTCACTCAGATCTAAATTCAGATAATGTTGTCCCTCCCAACGTGCCGAAGTTGGCAAGCGTTTCAAATAAAACACCAAGTTGAGGGTACAGGTAGTCCTTGACTTATGACCACAACTGAGCCAAAATCTATGTTGCTAAGAGAGACACTTGCCAAGTGAGTTTTACCCCATTTTACGACCTTGCTTGCTCCAGTTGTTAGGTGAATCACTGCCCTTGTTAAGTTCGTAACAAGGTTGTTAAACGTGGATCTGGCTTCCCCATCCTCAGGAGGTCGCAAAAGGGGATCACATGATCCCGCATGCTGCAGCTGTCATAAATACATTGTTGTTGTTGTTAATTGCGAAGTCGTGTCCGACCCATTGCGACCCCATGGACAACGTTCCTCCAGGCCTTCCTGTCCTCTACCATCTTCTGGAGTCCATTGAAGCTCACGCCTACTGCTTCAGGGACTCCATCCAGCCATCTCATTCTCTGTCGTCCCCTTCTTCTCTTGCCCTCAATCTTTCCCAGCATTAGGCGCTTCTCCGGGGAGTCCTTCCTTCTTATCAGGTGGCCAAAGTATTTGAGTTTCAACTTCAGGATCTGGCCTTCTAAAGAGCAGTCAGGGCTGATCTCCTCTAGGACTGACCGGTTTGAACGCCTTGCAGTCCAAGGGACTCACAGGAGTCTTCTCCAGCACCATAGTTCAAAGGCCTCAATTCTTTGGCGCTCAGCCTTTCTTATGGTCCAACTTTCACAGCCATACATTGCAACTGGGAAAACCATGGCCTGGACTATACGCATTTTTGTTGGCAGGGTGATGTCTCTGCTTTTTAGTATGCTGTCTAGATTTGCCATAGCTTTCCTCCCCATGAGCAAGCGTCTTTTAATTTCTTGGCTGCAGTCCCCACCTGAGGTGATCTTGGAGCCCAGAAAAATAAAATCTGTCACTACCTCCATTTCTTCCCCATCTATTTGCCAGGAATTGAGATGGCCGGATGCCATGATTTTGGTTTTCTTAATGTTGAGTTGCCCGTTGGCAACGGGCATGTATTTATGCCCGTTGGCAACGGGCATAAATACATGCCCGTTGCCAACGCCTCTGAATTTGGATCATGGCGACCTCAACAATTGTTAAGTGTGAAAAATTTTTCAGCGCTGTTGTAACTTCGAATTAAGCGATTGTAAGTCAAGGACTACCTATAATTGATTTGCATTTTGTCTTTTAATTAGGATCTTTCTGTCTCTCTGTGTGTGTTGGGTGCGCATGGTTGTTGATTATATGTTAGTAGAGTTTTTGTGGAATTTCAGCAGGATGAATAAGAAGCCGGAAGTCAAAGTGTAGAGATGCCCTTTTAATCTCATAAAGCCAACCTTTTCCTTTTTGTTGGTTTGAATTGGACAGGTTTATCCTACAGACCTTTATTAGGCTGGACTAAATATGGTCCGTTTCTTCTCCCTGATTTATGAACCACTGTTGTGCAATGACAACTTTTCTCCATCAAGAACTTCTTGACTTTGTTTTTACACAGTGCGAGGATACCTGCCCGGGGCCCAGGAGGTGAAAGGAAGGCTGATGGACACCAGCGTGGAGCAAGATCTGATTCGAGGGCTTAGTCAGAAGAAGCAAAACCTGCTCCTTGAGCTACGAAACTATGAAGAAAATTCAAAGGTAATTTATGTCCAGATGGGAAATCCAGACTCGATCTTGACCGTTAGGGAAGCAAGCAAGTACAACTTCAGGAGTTGGATATTAGAAGTTCAGGAATGAAAGAAAACTCTACTTCTTACTTTATTTTATCCTTATTCTATTTTGTGGAAGAATTATGATTGAACAACAACAGAGATAAATTTGTAAATTAGGAATATTGGCAGAAAGGAGCAATTGGCATTATGTCATAAGAAATTTGAGTGTGTTTGGTAAGTAACATTTGGGCTAGGTTTTGGAGCTTCCTGTCTCAGTGAGAGCAAAGTATAAAACTGTTTTACCAGTGCTAATGGCAAGCTGTTGCAATTAGTGGACCTGATTTTATGTATTTCTGTACATTGTCCAACGTTTTGAATAAGGCCTACATGTTGTTTTGAAGCAGGTGGAACTAAACACTCAGGTAAATGAGATGGATGGCCAAAGAGGTGTGATCCCGGCAAACACACAGCTCCAGACTGCATTGTCCATCAATCTGGGATCGGAAACTGAATCCGCTCATATAGAACTCTGCATATCCACATCCAATGGTATATCAAGATTAGCAGCCAAAGTTCGTTGGTACAGGCGCAGTATGTGTAATTTCTTAGCTGTGAGCACCTGAGGAAGATGCTTCTTCGATCTGACTTGGGCATTTGCATCTTTCACTGACCTTAAGAATCTGAGCATCCCACTGGGCCAGAGGAATACCTGTTATGGGTTATCATGTATGAAGAATATAATGGACTAGACTAGACTAGAAAATGTAATGTAATATAATGTAATAATAGAATAAAAACTGGAATAGAATAGAAACTGGAATAGAATGGAATAGAATAGAATAGAAACTGGAGTAGAAGTAGAAGTAGAATAGAATAGAATAGAATAGAACAGAGTTACAGAATAGAATAGAATAGAATAGAACAGAGTTACAGAATAGAATAGAATAGAATAGAATAGAATAGAATAGAATAGAATAGAATAGAATAGAATAGAATAGAATTGGAAGGAACCTTGGAGGTCTTCTAGTCCAGCCCCCTGCTCAAGCAGGAGAACCTATACCATTTCAGATAAGTGACTGTCTAGTCTCTTAAAAAAAACCTCCAGTGATGGAGCAGCCGTGATTTCTGAAGGCAAACTGTTCCACTGGTTAATAGTCGACACTTAAAACTTAAGGAACAGCATCTAAAGGCAGGAGATTAACCTGAGCGGGTCCATGGGGTCTGAGACCCTAGAAAATGTGGAGAGAAGAGCAACAAAAGATAATAAAGGGTTTGGAGGCTAAATTGCATGAAGAACGGTTTGGGGAACTGATATGTCTAGCTAGCCTATTGAAGAGAAGGATTAGGGGGGACATCATAGCAGTCTTCCAGGACTTGAGAGGCTGTCACAGAGAAGAGGGGATTGACTTAGTCTCCAAAGCACCTGAGCGCAGGACAAGAAGTAATGGGTACAAGTTCATCAAGAAGAGATCCAACTTAGAACTAAGGTGGAATTTCCTGACAGTGAGAAGGATTAAGCAATGGAACGGCTTGCCTTTGGGAGCTGTGCGTGTTCCAGCACTGGAGGTTTTCAAGAACAGACTGAACAACCATTTGACCTGGATGATATAAGGTCTCCTTCCTTGAGCAGATGGGTGGGACTCAGCCCTATGATTCTGTGTTGTAAGTTCATAGTAAACTTGAGGCTACAAGTGACAGGTCTTGTTGATTGCTTTTGGTGATGGCAGCCGTGATGATCTTGACTTCTTTTCTGCCCTGTCTGCCGTCCTGGAGAACAGTTTTTAAACCGAATAAATATCTTAATATTTTGTAACCTTGCTCAACAACCGCCAGGGCCTGCGGACGTAACGGGCAGACTCCATGACGGCCGTAGGTGTAGGACTACTTCTGTTAGACCCTTAAAACTCAACCAAGAGAGAAATGTCTTTGTTTTCACTTCAGACACAATTATCCGAGCGGTGCTGATCTTTGCTGAAGGCATCTTTGAAAATGAGAGCCACGTAATCCACCCCACTCCTCAGACTCTCTCGAGCCACATAAAAGTCCCGCTCGCTCCGCCGAAAGACGTCCCGGTGGAGCTAAACATCAAAGCCCTGGTTGGATACAAGAAGAGGTGAGTGAGGGCTTGGCAGGTTTTCCATAAACTGCCTCTTCCCAGTCCTTTTGAAGGGCTGAGCTGTTTTTGCTGTTGGGCTTTATGAGAGAAACAGGGACCCTGAATTATGTGGGAGAAGTCAGGAGAGCCCGAACGCCTAGAGAAATATGATAACCTCTAAGCCCTCAGGCAGGTTTTTGAGTCAGTAAGTGCCAGCATTTTGCATTCAGCAAGTTTTTAAAAAAAATATTTTGAAGGAACAAATGCTATATATCGGTTTATCGATTTTTTTTCCCTTCTGTTCAATCATGTCTGACACTCAGAGACTGCTTGGGTAGGTCCCTGCAGTTTTCTCGGCAAGGTTTTTCAGAATGGCAAGGTTTTTGCCATTGCCTCCTTCCTAGGGCTGAATGAAAGTGACTGGCCCATGGTGCCAGAGCTGACTTTGTGCCTACGGCTGGACTAGAACTCACAGTCTACTTCAGTTGAGGCTGCTCAACTCATTTTCCTTTCTCTTCCCCATCTGTCACTTCCCCCAAAAATTTGAATTCTGGAGAATCCAGGTAAGTACATTTAAAAGCCCGTGAAAACAATAGTTTCTTTTCAAATCCTGTCTTTCAATGAAAACCTAATTTGCACTTAATAGCCTTCCATGCAGAGGCATAAAGTGTTTTCGTTTTTCCATTTGCACGTGGGGTGCGTTTTTTTTAGCCCAGTCTTGGCAGTAACAGGAAGAACGAGGCATGCAGAATATTGGGGAATTTGTAGGAGTTGGAATAACTCCTAATTCTTAGGCAGCTAGAAGAGAAGGCAGATGAAGAGCTGCAAAAGTCATGAAACTACATTCCCTCATTTGCATCCAGAAATTTATAGCTATGCTTGGGCCTTGAATGTATACATCCCTTGTTCTTTTAAGCATCACTCATGAGAGCCAGAAACTTTTAAAGCTCATAGTCCCAGTGACACCATATATTCCAGAAAATTACTCGATTGCATCCTTAAGCTCTCTAGGGCAGTGGGCACATGAGAGATGTTTTACATAATAACACAAAGAGGGACAGAACAGCAAAAAAAGAGAGAAAATATAATCGAGGTGATCCTTGGCTTTTTTGTGAATGTGAAATGAATGTCAGGATCAGGGCATCCTCAAAGAAAGAGCCATGGTTTGCTGAGATGGCCTTCTCCTGAAGGAAGGCGAAGGATTACACGTGCATTTGTTAAGCCACCTTGATTGTTTTGTTTCATGCTTTCCCAGCACGCAGTTCCATGTTTTTGAGCTGTCCCGGCAACTCCCTCGCTTCTCGATGTATTCGCTCTGCAGCCCAGACTCTGCGACCAGGCCTGTGAGCTTTGTAAAATTCACTCTGGGGGAGAAGGTGCAGATGGTAAGTCTTCTCTCTTTTTTTTCTTCTGGGTTGTAGTAAATGCTTTTCTATAGTCACTCAGTTCAGCAAATGTCGTGTTTTATACTTGGGGAAATCATGCAGCTGAAGGGAATTGTGTGCTTGTTAAATTAATCTGGCTTTCCCCATTGACTTCGCCTGTCAGAAGCTGTCTAGGAAGGCCAGCAAGGCAGTCACGTGATCCATGTATGTTACAACCCCCGTAAATATCCATGGGGATGCCGCAACAATTGTAATTGTGAGGATTGGTCATCAGTCATTTTTTTCAGTGCTATTGTAACTGAACTGTGACGAAACAAATGGTTGTAGCATCTCCTGTGGCTGAGACTTCTTGAACTTGGGATAATTGCAGGTGTGTTCCTTGTATGTCTAGGGCAGAAGTAGGCCATCTCGGCTCTTTTATAACTTGTGGACTTCAACTCCCAGCATTCCTGAGCCAGCATGGTTCAGCTTGGAAACCTCTCCCTTTCCCTCAGCGTGGCTGGCTCAGGAATTCTGAGTTGAAGTCCACGAGTCATAAAGCGGCCTAGTCCTAGTCCAGGGGTAGTCAACTTTGGCTCTTTTACGACTCGTGGACTTCAACTGCCAGAATTCCTGAGCCAGCATGGCTCAGCTTGGGAACCTTTCCCTTTCCCCTCAGCGTGGCTGGCTCAGGAATTCTGGGAGTTGAAGTCCACGAGTCGTAAAAGAGACAAGATTGCCTACCCCTGCTCTAGGGCATAAGCTGCAAATCCGCAGAAACTTATCAGGATGTTGCAACCTGCTCCCCCCCCCACCTCCCACTCTTCTTCTCAAAATTCACATGTGGGCATTTATGCTTTCAAGGGCATCACATGGATAAAACAGAATTTCCTGTTACCCGAGGATGTGAAGATGCAAAACGAGTTGCTGGAGGTCTGCTTTACCTCCCTCCGTGATACAGGACAGTTGTGTATCCGACTGAATCTCAGTGGAGAGGTACCCTTGTGCTTGTCTCATTTATGTTGCAATTAGCCTGGGAAATAAGTCCCTCCCTGGTCTCTTGGGGGAAGCAGAATTCATCCAGGGGAACCGGCCACGACAAGCCCCCCCCCCTTCTATTTGTGTTTCTTCAGAAACAAAGTATGATTCCCTTAGAGCAGGGCTGTCCAACTTTGGACTTACGGACTGGCTGGGGAATTCTGGGAGCTGAAGTCCACAAGTCCAAGGTTGGACACGCCTGTCTTAGAGTAAGGAAGTGGTTCTCCATCACCCTCAATGGCGTGGTTATTAGTAATGAACAGTCTCTGTGTCTCATCAGCTTGGTAGATCCAGGGTGGCTGTTGTAAGCTACTTCATGTTAGTTCCCTCATAAACTATTTGCACTGAAGGTTAGCACTTGGGCTATCCTAATTTAGCTTCCCATGTGATAAGGCTCTTTAAGCATCAACTTCTGCCATTGTAATGAGCGTGTCTAGGGTAAATTTGAGTTATTTTTCTTCTTCTGGTTATTAGATCTCCATTCACACCGATAACATTGACCTGGCTGGTGACCTCATCCAATCAATGGCCTCCTTTTGGGCAATTGAGGACTTGCAGGTGGAAGCAGATTTCCCCATGTATTTTGAGGAGGTGCACAAAGCTTTTGTTGGGGTAAGTGAGTGAGGCGTCTTAAACATACCTGGGGTACCAATAGAAGAGAATATCTGTAGTTCAATGTTGAGCCATGGGGTCCTTGGTGCTCCCTGACCTTAGTTGTTTTCTTACAGACATTTGATGACCCAACTGGGTAACACTATCAGTGTTGGAAGGGAATGGGGTTTGTGAAGTGGTGGTGGAGGAGGAGGAGGAGGAGGAGGAGGAAAAGAACTGTAGGGTCCTTGGTGCTCTGGGTTTGGTTATTTTCTTGCAGACATTTCATTACCAATGTAGGTAACATCATCAGTGCTAGTAAGGAGTGGGGTATGCAGAGAGGAGGAGGAGGAGGAGGGGGGGGGAGGAGGAGGAGGTGGTGGAGGAGGAGGAGGACTATAGGGTCCTTGGTGCTCTCTGAGCTTGGTTGTTTCCTTGCAGACATTTCATTACCCAACTAGGTAATATCATCAGTGCCAGAAGGGAGTGGAGTTTGCAGAGGAGAAGAAGGGAAGGAGGACAACTGTGGGGTCCTTAGTACTCTGTGAACTTGATTGCTTGCAGATGTTTATATACTGTACAGTCAGCAAACCCCACGTTCACTCACGCTGACGATGTTGCCTCTTTGGGCAGTGGAATGTCTTGCATGCAGTCAAAGAGCCCAGAAAGCACCAAGAACTCCATATCTGAGGTACCTCATCGTGATGGATTGGCATTGCTGAAATAAATTGGAATGGGCAGGAGCTAAGGAAGCCCATGGATTTGGTGGGCCACAAGCAAGAGATGTTCTCAAGGGCTTTGAAATAGCGAGCACCACTAACTGCTCTCTTTAGAACTGTCCTAAAGCAGCACCAGACTCTTAATTATTTATCTTCCAGCAGATCAGACCATTTTGTCTTGGAAGCGATTACTTCTTTCATGGCGGCACAGGCCGCCTCGTTCTTGTTCTTTTTTCTTCTGCTGATGGAATTTATGCTCCATTTCAGACAAAACTTGCAACGGGAGAATTGAATTGTCAACAACTTTGCTTTTAGGCTGGAGATTCCTTCCGCAAAATTACTTGCTTTGTCTGAATCTGAATTAGCCATCTGTGAGGTTGGGAACGCTAATGATTTTGCAAGCAGATGTCTGTGGTGGCAGGTGGAGTCCCAGAACCCTAAAATCTCCAGGAAGGATCAGACCAGGAGGTGCTTTGAATGCCTGCCTGAAGGAAGTGGCTCCATAACATTAAGACTTCAGGGATCGTAGGCAGGGGAGGGACTCTCATTTCCCAGGAGAGAAGTCTCCGGCCTGCCAAGCACATACTACGGGCGTCTTAAATTGTGGATGGTTCTCCTCCACAGGTGGACAGTTCCCATACAGTTTGTCAGAAGCTCACAGCCAACATGGCTGAGAGCTCCAATTGCATCCGCAGCAAGCTGGTTCGAGCAGAAGATTCCCGCCTCATGGGAGACTGGTGAGTGAATAACCCCGATTGAAGTTCGCAAGTCTTAAAAGTTGCTAAGGTTGAGGGCCCCTACTCTAATGGATCAATCGGGATTCATTGCATCTCAAATCCCAACAAATAAATAGCTTTCAACGTCGTTTGCTTATGCTGTTTTCGTTTACCCTCGCAGGAGAAACATGAAGAAACGGTATGTGGAACTGTATGACCTCAACAAGGATTTATTGTCTCAGTACAAGATTCGCTGCAGCAATCACTCGGAGCTTTTAAATAATCTCAAAGCAGTCAATCAAGCCATCCAACGAGCGGGACACCTCCGAGGTAGGTTCCGGAGAAGGACCTGGAGAATTATTTCTCATTTTACATGTCCTGTCACTTTGGGACTTGAAAAGAAAAGCGTGTGCCTAAATGAATGATAACTTGGAAAGACATGGCTCGAAGCTTCATTTTTGTATAATTCCAGCCTCAGATCCCCAATCTGTTTTTCTCTCGCAGTTCCCAGAGAGCTCCCGAGTCTTTTTCTTAAGACTGCTTGGCTAAGAGATGCCGGCACATAACTGCTAGCATGTCATACCTAGAGACTTAAAATGGACCATGGAGGTCCCTCAACCTTCCGAGTAAATTCAAAATACGTAAACACTGAGCAGAAAGAATAGTTGTGTCCTGCACAAGCTGTCCCCTCTGAGCCCTCAGCTGATTTGAGAGTGTGTGTGTGTGGGGGGGGAAGAGAACACTTTCCCCTTCTGAACTGTAAAGAAGCTGGACAAGAACAGACTCTGCTAACTCTTTTGTTTTTCTTCTTTTTTTCTTCTTCTCCAGTTGGTAAACACAAAATGCAAGTGATTGCTGCCTGCCGGGATGCTATTAAGAACAACAGTGTTAATATGCTGATCAAAATCATGCGCCTGGGGACAACTTGCTCTTGATCCAGAGTGAAGGCTGGAGGCGAAAACTAGCCTAGGTTGGCAGCCCAGAGAGACGAGCAGAAAGATCTAGCAGCAGATAGACAGTAGGTAATTCTGCCCGTTTAGTGGCCGGTAAAGTGCAGTATGAAGACCTTACTAGGGCTGATCGTTCGACCGCTTGTGGCAGGGAAGAGAAGGCCAGTATCTTGGTTCTTTCTAAATATCATGCTTGCGGAGAGATGGCCAAGCTTTTGCGGACATTACAGACCAAATCTGGGAATTTCAGAAGCCAAAACCGCCCTGGAGGCTGTTTATTTAAAATAGCAGTTTTTGATTCAATAAAACTTGACAGACCTCAGTCTATCTGTATGGTTTAGTCCGTTTAGTCCAATTTAGTCCGATTCCCAGAATTCTCCAGCCAGCCACAATTGGAGTTGAAGTCCACGAGTCTTAAAAGTTGCCAAGGTTGGTGGACAATGTGGAGAAACACTAATCTGGCTTAGTATGAAGCAAGAAAAGGAAAGCTTAAAGTCACGCCAAGCTTTTTTTATTATTATAAATTAGTGTGAGGTCTCGATTGAGAATAAAGTTTAAAAAGGGTCACTGCCTTTTTAAAATTTAACCATTTCTGGTTCAGAATTTTGTCTTGATTTTTAAGCTGGTTGCAACTATTATAACTGAATTAGGATTCTCTCTTTGGTGCAGCCGCCAGCAAGCCATTTAGGTTTACCCATTTCAAAGGCTGCTTGATTTACGGTTTAACAAGCTCCGTGAATCCAACCAGTAGAGACTTACTCAACAAACCATAATAACCTTCCCCGATTATTAACTCAACCTACAAAATACCACACAATTAGATCAATAGAAAACACCCTTCTTTTTTGTCTGTGAGAAATAAGTGGTGAGTTTTGGAAAACATAGCAAATATTGGCTTTGTCCATGCTACCTTGTTTTCTGAGGCTGTTTAGGCTGAACCATAACCAAAGTCCTGCCTCAGCCCAAATAAAGTGGTATTTACATTGCTAATGTGGAAGCTTTGTGGGCCCCCCACAGCAGCTCAGACCACGTCATTTCCAAAAGGGCCCCCAGAAAAGGAGTGTTCACTTTTGCAGGAACATCAGAGTAAAGCAGATTGTACAACAGAATCTTTGTTTGTAAAAAAAAATGGTCCTTTTGAGTATTTAGGAGAAACGGTTTGCCGTCACTTGCTGGCACCATCTCTCATTCGTAGTAAACAAAGGAGAAATCCCAGAATTCTTTTTCATCCGGCGTCTGCTCCAGACTACGGTGGTTAATGTACTTCACAAATTTCTGTGTCTCTCGATCTCTGTAAACTAAAGCCAGGCAATTGGCCTCTGGATTAACCGTCAGCAGCTTGAAAAGAGAATAAAACAAGAACAGTTAAGAAAACAACCTGCATTTACTTCAAAGGACTGTGCAGGAAAACCTTACTTTCATGAATGCAAATTATGGATTTCAATAAAATCCTAGTTCCTCTTCTAGAAACGTGCAGGCTGCATGCGCAGAATGATAGAACACAAGTAACTATAATTTCCCATAAAATAAACATTAAGGTAGCTTCAGTGGAAAACAGGATTGTCAATGGCTACTCATTATGAGATGCTGCATTCATTAGGCTTATGTTCAAATTCACAGAAGCCTCTAAGTGGCTACTGTGGGAACAGAATGTTCCTCTATTCAGCCAGCTCCAGTCCTTTTGAAACGGCACAAAAAAGGCAAATTCTTTGCCTAAAACAATTAGGGAAATTGAAAGTAGAACTTGGCAGTAACATAATAGCATTAACAATACTCTGTGACGGAGTATTCTGTTCACTTTTGTCAATGCACCTTAAAAAAAGATGCCATGGAGTTTAAAAAAAAAAAAAGGGAGGATACCAAAGTGATTACTGGATTGAATCAGATCCCTTACAGGGTGAAACAAACAACTGGGGTATATGATGGTGGAATAAAGTAGGGCAAGGGAAGAAATAATATAAGAACATGCAGACTGGTCATTCTCAACTTACAACGAATCATTTAGTGGCCAAAGTTACACTGGCATTCAAAAAAGTGACATCGCCAGTCCGCACAATTACTGTTGCAGCATTCCCAGTCACATGATAAAAATGTGTGCACTTGGCAACCAGTGTGCACTTCCAAAGGTTGCAGCAACCTAAAGTCCTGTGATTGCCATTTACCAGTTTGACTTTCCCAGCTGGCTTCCAACGGAGTCAACGGGAAGCGGATTCACTTAATGAAGTGAGTCAATCCTTTAACTTCAGTGATTCACTTAACAAGTGTGATTAAAAAGGTGAGACTGGACACAGCTCACTTAACAATACCTTGTTTAGCAACATAAATTCTGGTCCCACTTGGAGTTGTAAGTTGGGGACCACCTCTAGAATACTTAGATCAGTGTTTCTCAACCTTGACAATTTTAAGGCATGTGGACTTCAACTCCCAGAATTCCATAGCCAGCAATGCTGGCTGTGGAATACTGGGAGTTGAAGTCCACATGCCTTAAAATTGTTAAGGTTGAGAAACACTGACTTAGATGGTTTCGCCCCGTGCTCCCAATTTTGCATAATTTTCCTGATTCAACACAATGCTGGGCACAGATTCCTTTTAATACTTCACTGTCCCTTGCATGATAATGAGGCTAAGGTCACCAGGGAACCCTGCTTTTCAAGTGGCATGCAATGTTTTGTCGCATGCAGGTAAAGCAGTTCCCTGGAATTTTAAGAAGAAGCCGTGAGCTATTTCCCAAGGCTTGGACATCTGGGAAGGGACACCTGTGGTCTCTGAGCAAGTTCACCTGTGCCCCTGAAAATGGGGGGAAAAATATGTTTACCTCTTCGTCTTCGCCTTTTGCAATGTATGAAGTGAAGCCTCCCGATTCGACGTTCCAGTCTTAAAAAAGGAATGAACATCATGTTTAAATTTTAAAGAGAGCAGCCACAAACAAATCCACTTACTCAAACACAACAGTGAACGTTTATTTTTATTGATTTATGTGCCGCCCATCTCGGCTAGAGACTGGGAGGCTGAGCAAAATCGGTGCTAAGAAGATTTTAAAATTTGTTTTTAATTGAGATTGGCCAACTCAATTCAAAAAAATCTAGTGATAGCTTTTTGGATTGTGAAGACAGGTATACAACACCTGCAAGGGAAAAATATAGGCAGTTTCCAGGGAGATAATTATATTTAATCATTTAGGTATAAAGGATTTTTCCCCTTCCGTGGATAACTCAGAATTATCTTCTTGCATTAATGGATAAAACAAGCGGCTGAAAAATGAAGAGACTTCAAAACTAGCCAGTGTTGGGTGCCTTTGAAGATTGGAAACTGATCAAAGAGAGAAGCAACCTAGAATTAAGGAGAAACTTCCTGACAGTGAGGACAATTAAACAGTGGAACAGCTTGCTTCCAGAAATAGTGGGTGCTCCATTAATGAAGATTTTTAAGAGGCTAGACAGCTTAAACCGAAACCAACCTTCACACCCACAGAACAGCAGCAGATCCAAGGCAAACTCTGCTCTTTGGGCATCGTGGATCAGAGTGTAGCATCCTTTCCTCCAGTGTCTCAGTTCTCCAGTGCAAAGAGGGACACCTAAGGGAGAAAAGACCAGATGTTCTTGGCTTTCATGATGGCTACGTACCATTTTAAAGAATTGGGTGAGGGAGAGAGAAAAAGAGCCTGCCCTTAGTTTTCCCCAGAGTAAGTTCTCTTAGGGGGAGCCTGGAATCCCCACAGAGCGTGTCCCGGGTGGTGGATTGGGGGGCCCTACCCATTATGGCTTTTATACTGTAATGGCGGGTTGTAGGGAATCAAATACCTCCCGTGGACCAACAGGCCTGGTGAATGGCAGCTGGCTCCCCAGTATCGACTGAAGGTGGAGACCATATTGGTTGGAACGGATTTAGAAGAACAGCACACGGTGTGGTGGCAGCCACTTGAACAGCGTGTGCACAGCAGTGTAGAAAGCAAGGGGAAGACTACTACACTATATATTTCCCAGGAAAATCATGTTAATGGCGGCAAAACCTAACAATGGCCCCGAGTACGGGTGCCCCTTAAATGGGGCAGGGGTGCTAAGAATCTCTTGGTCCACTAGAAGCATGATAAACCCAAAATTATGTGGAATCTGAGAAGCCTATATGACACTGGGGAAAAAAACTCAGCAGCACTTTTTCGTGCGGCTGCTGATAAAAACAGGATCGCCAACGTCCGATAACGGATATGGCACAAGAAGAAGAAGAAGAGTAAGTTCTAATCCTCTGAAATTTCACTTAATGGTGATGGGCTCAGCATCTTCCGAGCTGATACGGTTTTTCAATATGGACAGGAAGAAGGTCACCATTAGACAAGAATCTCCTTAATGGTGCCTCTCAGCTGTTAAGACACCCCACCCCGCAAGAAAAGGCTTTGGAGAAGTAGGAAGAGCTGGTGCCCCAAGATCTGTTGATGTTTACTCCTGAGCGAGGGATGAAAAGCTTTGGATTGTGTCCACCTCAATTTGTGTCGGAGGGACAGAACCGAAAGAAACACAATTTGTATATAGGAAGCCAGATCAACAAACGAACACAGCGACGGGAGAACAAGAGACCCGGGTCTCTCTGTCTGACAGTCAACAGTGCTGATGTTGTGTCCTGGCAGGGCAAGTGGGTAACTAAGGAGAGTGGAATTCCTCAACATCCTGAAAATGGGCCCGTTTAGACATGCCCCGTTGCTCTCATTCAGCACCGTTCTGGATGGAATTAAATGGGACTTTGGGGTGTTTTTTGGATTTGAAAGATTTCCTTTTCAAGTTCCATTCACGCAGGCATGAAAGCAAAAAACAACAAGGGCATGGAAAAAAAATGAAACTCTCAATACATCCTTCTGTGCTCCCAAGGAATTTACGGCAAATGCACAGCAGTAATCATTTGGAAAAAAAAATCTCTTATTTACTTCAAAATAAAAGAGTTTATTTTAACGTTCTGCCCAATTTCTACTGATCAACCTACAAACTTGATTTGGCCGCGATCAAGTGTTTTGGTCAAACAGTAATAAAATCGATCTTGTGAGCTCTCAAAATACCCACGTCAAAGCGGAGCTGAAGAGTTGTAATGGATATAAACCTCTACAGTTTGGGCAACCCTGTAATTTGGGTTGGGCTGACAGATAGACTGCAACTGGATCCGGACGCTCAATATACCATTCTCTTGGTTGTCCTCATTTTCGGAGACGCTCCCTGATGCCTCTGTACAGTCTGTATTGCCAGCTTCCTCTTGACTGCTGGGTCGTTGTGAGCTTTCAGAAGACTCTCCTCCTCCTCCTCCTCCTCCTTCCTCTTCCTCTTCTGGGGCTAGAAAATGTAGCTTCAGGCCCGTGAAATTGGAAAGCAGCAGGAACAAGGCCTCGGAGCGGAAGAGTTCGAAACACCCTTTTAAAATGGCCGGCAAGCTCTTCTCCTCTGCTTTCTCGTAATGCCTAAAAAGACAGTAAGCTTCATGAACGAGGACTTTTCCCCTGCACCTCCTTTCTTCAGAACACTTGGATGAAAGGCGCTGCTAGCAGAGCACAACCGATACAGGTGGTCCTCAGCTTACGAACACAACTGGGTGCAAAATTTCTGTTGCTAAGCAAGTGAGTTTCGCACCATTTTTTACCACCTTTTCTTGTTAACAGCTGCTAAGCGAATTGCCGCTGTTGTTAAATTAGTCACCAGGTCGTTAAGTGTTAACTGGCTTCCCCATCGACTTTGCTCGTCAAAAGGGGATCACGTGTCCCCCGGGCCTCTGGAATACCTGCCAGTTGCCAAGCATCCCAACTCTGATCGTGGGACCATGGGGATGCTACAGTGGTTGTGTGAAAACCAGCAATAAGTCAAGTTTTCCCAGTGCCACTGTAACTTCGGTCACCAAATGGCTGTCTGGTTCCAAGCCGCGGATTGTATACACAGGGAAGAGGGAAACACGCAGACGGTGGCGGATGTGTAAAACCGCACACTGCGTTTTGATTCCATTCTGGTTTCTTTCCATAGCAGATTTTTTGAAATAGACTAGCGTCAGCGTCGTGACTGGAATACAAGACAAGCAGAGACCGTCCTTTAGAACGGTTCGCTCCGGCAAACCGGGTTTTGCGTGGGATCTAAAATAGGGGGTGGGTTGTGAAAAACCACACCCGTATTTGGTGTTTTGTCTCTGAGAGGCCAGAAACTTTCTTTTAAAAGGCTGGGAAAAATAAAATCCTCTCGCCAGCCACACGAAAGGTCTGTAAACAAGCCCAAGAGGTCAGACTCTTAGGAAGTTCTGTTCTTTGGAATTTCATCTCCTCCTTTCCCTACTAGCATGTAAGACGACAAAGCCGGATTAGCTGAAATTCTCAAGAGGATCCAGTTTCGCACGAGAGCCTCACGTTACGCTCACGGGCGTCTTTGAGGAAAAGCCAAACCCGGCTGGCAGAGCTCCGTGGCTGGAAAGGAACACGACTGCTCAGGTGGGAGTGAGGCAGCCTGGAGCAGCTTTACCTGTGGTTGGGTGGCCCTTTAGTGCTCCAGCCGAGTCCTTCCGTCTTCAGAGCTTTGCAAACCCGCTGATACTTGTCTCTCTAGGAACCAAGCAGAAGGAAAGCATGTCGGAAGCAAGCTCCTGGAAGCAAGGAGTTCGCCAAAGCGTTTATGGGCGAGCCTGATGGAATTAATCCCTTGGTCCCATTTAAGCTAAGTGGCTTTTGCCCTCTTTTACGTCCTTTTTTCCCATGCTTGCTAAGTGAATCACTGCAGTTATTAAGTTAGTAACACGGTTGTTAAAGGAATCTGGCTCCATTGACTCCACTTGTCAAAAGGTTGCGAAGGAGGATCACGTGACCCCGGGACATGGCAACCGTCATAAGTACGAACCTGTTGCCAAACATCTGAATTTTGAACACGGGATCATAAGGATGGCGCAATGGTCTTTAAGTGTGAAAAATGGTCATAAGCAGTGGTGGGATTCAAATAGGTGAACCATCGGTTCTCTGCGTGGATGCTGCTTCTGGACGTCCGTTCTAGGCCTGGGCAACAAAAAATTAGCTACCGGTTCTGCCGAAGAGGTGCGAACTGGCTGAGTCCCACCACTGGCCGTAAGTCACTTATTTCAGTGCCGTTGTGACTTTGAACAGTCACTAAATGTCGTAAGTCAAGGACTATCTATGCTCATCACTTCTCAACCTGCCACGTGAAGCTGAAAGAAATATGAGAACGGAGATTACACCGGTTGCCTTATCCTCTTATAACCAAGAATGGACTCACCTTGAGAAAGTCTTTCAGCAAGATCTCTGATCGATCTTCAAACTCTTCCTGGATCTGTTCTTGGGAATCCATGTCCAAATAAACGGGATTGATCCAATCATACAAGATTTCATGCTGAAAAAATGGGGAGGAACGGAAGAGAAGGCCGAAATTTACATTAGGGCATCGAAAGTCAACTTGTAACTTTACCTCTGTCATTATTTCCAGAAATGTTGGTAGGTGCTTGTCATACATAATCCAGGACAGTGTTTCTCAACCTGGTCAACTTTTAAGACGCGTGGACTTCAACTCCCAGAATTCCCCAGCCAGTCCAAGCCTCTCAAAGTTGACCAGGGTTGAGAAATTCCAGCCCAGCATGTACACCACAGGCGCAGCACAAACTCAACAAAGTGCAGCTTCTGTTGGGGAGAAACAACAGACGCTAGGCCAGGGGTTCCCAGCTGGGGTGTGCTCAACCCCTGGGGATGCGAGATGATATTCCAGGGGGTGCGAAAACTCGTGTTTTCAAAATTATAGTGTATATGCATTATTCCTTGCCATTATTTTGAACTTCTGTAAGGGATGTGAGAATAGATCAGAAGCGTTCTAGGGGTGCGGGGTGTAGAAAAGGTTGGGAACCCACTGCATTAGGGTAAAGATGAAACATGAAAGCAAAAGCAGAAACGGCCTTTCCAGAAAAACCATGACTACTCCTTGGTAGTCCAGACCAAGGATCAAAAGTATTGTAGAACAATGCCACAATACTGCAGGTAGCAAGCAGCTTACATCACGAGGGATGTGGGGGCTTTGTGGAATCTGTGGCTCCACAGGACGTGGTGGTCTTGGAAGCGAGGGGCCGTGAAACCAGCCGCTCACTGACAAGCGGCATTTCTCTTTGGAAATGACTTCAGACACCTGGGACAGAGGAAAACGACAAAAGAACACATAAACACTGAGTTCTCAGACGAAGATGCTGCCAGGAAATTACTCCTTATTTCTAGGCTCTCTCCTTGCTTAGCTTCCATCCGTTGCTTCTTGTTCTGCCTTCAGGTGCTTTGGAGAATAGCTTGACCCCTTCTTCTTTGGGGCAGCCCCTGAGATATTGGCACACTGCTATCATGTCCCCCCTCGTCCATTGAAGTAGACATACCCAATTCCAGCAACAGTTCTTCGTATGTTTTAGCCTGCAGCCCCCTGATCATCTTTGTTGCCCTTCTCTGCACTTTCTAGACTAGAGTCTCAACATAGGAGAAGTAATAATTGCTTACCTGGTGGAAGGAGACTGGTGACACTTCAAAGAAAGTGAGTGAATTCCAGGAAGGAACCAAAGACTTGACAATCTGCAAAGGCTGGAAATGATCTGCCAAAGACAAGGACACATACAAGGCACATACCAGCAAGCATGACAATCTGGAATTCTCCCACTGTCTTACATTTCACAACCTTCTGGCTTTGTCTGGCTTCTGAATAAAGAGAGGAAAAGTGAACCTTGGAGACAGGTGAAACAGAAGAATCTAGTTTACAAATAAGATTCAGCTTACAAACTAGGAGGATCCAAGTCTCAGCCTGGCTCTAATACCAGAAGTATCATACTGTATACCACAGTGTACATAGCAGCCCACTGTGGTAGTAAGAGAGCACATTTCTAAAGAGGAGGAACTTGCAGTATGAAAAAACGGAACAAAAGAAAACAAAAAACCCCACTAATGCATAAAGAGGATTTCTGTGGTTTCGAACATTTGAAATTGCACACTGGATTGGCAAGTGCAGTAGGACTGTGACTGAACCTGACTCACCTACAATTCCGTTAGGCCTCTCTCACCTTTGCCACTAAAAAGCCTTAAATGTGAAAATGTCAGAGATTCAAATGTAGTAGTTTATGAATGCAGTCGTTAGTTTCATTCCCAACGAATGCTTCCTCCCTCATCCAGATAACAGAAATAAGTTTTGGCCAAAACCGAAGTTGGAATATGCAGGGGTGGGCAACCTTGGCTCTTTGATGACGCGTGGACTTCAACTCCCAGAATTCCTGAGCCAGCCATGGCTCAGCTTGGAAGCCTCTCCCTTTCCCCTCAGCATGGCTGGCTCAGGAATTCTTGGAGTTGAAGTCCACGAGTCACAAAAGAGCCAAGGCTGCCTAGCCCTCGAATATAGGAACAGTCAATGCAAGGGACCACCGTACAGGCAGCTTGACAGCAATCAGCACTCAAAACGTCCGAGTCATGTTATGGGCGGTGTCAATCCAAGAGAGATGGAGGTGGGGAGGAATGGAAGGATGGAATGACTGAATTGCTGCCCTGAGCTCCTGAAGGACAGGTGTGATATAAAACCAAGCAGGCAAAATAAGTAAATCCTACCATCTGTAGAGAAGAGGTCCAAAGTGCCCCCATCGTGCTTATCCCAGGGGGGTACAAGGTAAAGGATGAATGCGATTCGCCGCCCCTCCAGCTCATCGTCGTGGCACAGCAGGGTATCTGGAGCAATGCAGGAATTTGGTTATGTTAGGTAACGTGACTAAAATGAGGCGGGGTGTGTGTGTGTGTCAAGTTGCCAGTGCTGATTCTTCACACCCAAGTCCCAATCTATTGCTTGCATTCCAATTCAACAGCTTCTTTCCCAAGTTTCATAGAATCAAAAGTTTTCTAGTCCAACCCTCAACCCAAGATAGGAGTCCTTATTGCATCCCAGACAAATTGAAAATCTCCAGCAAAATGGAGCACTCACAGCTCCGGGAGGCAAGTTATTCAACTGACTAGTTATTCTCACTGTCGGGAAAGTCCTCCTTATTTCCAGGTTGAGTCTCCCTCTGACGAGTGCCTCCCCACTGCTTCTTGTTCTGCCCACAGGTGCTTTGGAGAATAAGCCGAGCCCCTCTTCTCTGCAATAGCCCCTCAAGTACCGGAAGACAGCTGTCATGATCACCCCTAATCCTTCTCTCCATTAGACCAGGTCCCTTAACCGTTCGTTGTACAATTTACCTTCCAGATCCCTTATAATCTTTGTTCTTCTTCTCTGCACTCTTTCTAGAGTCTCAGCAATTTTTTTTTTAATATTGGGGTGATCAGAACTAAATGCAGTAACTCCATCTGCCCAGTGCTCAAGTCTGTCAAGATCCTTCTGAATCTTCAGCCTGTCTTCTAAAGTGTTAGAAATCTTCCCCAGCTTGGTACTGTATGGGGTTCTCCTTCTGTCTCCTCATCTAGATTATTTATGAAGATGTTGAAGAGTACTGGGCCTCAGACAGAATCTTGGGGGACCCCACTGCGTGCTTCCCACCATGTAGTTGCAATTCCACTGAGAACCACACACGGAGTGCCATTGGAGTGCCATTCGTCAGTCAACAACTCCATCTGGGGGTGATGCTGTCTCTCCCCCATTGTTCCATCTTACCAAGCTGTAGGCTGTGGTCTACTTTGTCAAATGCCTTATTGAAGTGTAACTAAACTATGTCTACAGCATTTCTCTGATCCACCAACTTAGTCACTTTGTCAAAGGCAAAAAGGTTTGTCCGACATGATTTGTTTTTAATGAACGCACGCTGGCTTCTAGCAATTGTCATTCATTTCTAGGTGCTCCCAAACCTGCCGAGCGATGATCTTTTCTGGATTTTCTAGATTTTTCAGGATCACACCGTTTCTTCTATCAATTCAATCAATTCCTAGCTTCAGAGTTCTTTTTCATTTTTTGGCTTACCTGTATATTCATATTTAGCGCAGGACAGATCAATGGTTGGTTCCAGCTCTACCTGGATCACGTCAGAAAGCCAAGACCGGAATTCTTCAAAAAGAACTTTTCTAACAGATGAGAGAGAAGACAAGTGAGCTTGCAGCATCTCAGCTCTGCAAGGAGGCATTCTGGCATTTGCTTCCACAGGACGGGAAAGCAATAGAATAGAAATAGGAATAGGAACAGAAATGAAAATGGAATAGAATAGATGGCCAAATCAAAACAATAGGGCTAATTTACCTTAATGCCGCAATGTGGGGCCATCCTCTCCTCTTTAGGTCATCTGACTTTGCAACAAGAAAGACACATTAGATTATTCAGAGATGGAAGCTTTTGCAGAAGAAAATCATACAGGTAGCTCTTGTGTAGTGACCACAATTGGGGCCAACTACTCTGTCATTAAACAAAGTGGACACTAAGTGGAAAATCAATGTGCTCTCCTTTTCTGCTACTCCCCTATCCTTTGGAATGCTCACCCCAGCACTTTGATAATTAGCAAGAGAATTCATGTTTGCATTTACATCCATTGAAGAGGAAGTGTTAACAAAAGAGTAAACAGGCCACAATGGGGAATGCACCTCAAAAACAATAGTGGTGCTGGCAGCCCCCGTGTGTTCCGTAAACAGCCCGTGTATTCCCCATTGCATGCCTGCTTACTCTCTTGTAAAGGAATCCCTTTCTCTCCAAACTCTCCACTTTGCAAGAGAGGAAGAATAAAAAAAACAAACAAACAGGAAACAAGAACTGGCTGTAATGATCACATACCCAAGGGATGTGATGAATGTTGTAATGGGCACCTATCGTAAAGATATTTTTTTCAGCACTGTCATAACTTCAGTCACCCAACAAGGCAGTCAGTTAAGTGAGTATTTAGGATACCAGTGACCTAGAATTGGTGTTAGTTTGGAGCACTCACCTGTTTGAACTTGTACAGATCATTACACTTTTCGTGGAAATCTAGAGTCAGGAGTTCCCTCCGCAGCTCCTCCAGGAAGTCCCGGCTGGGGATGAAATCTGGGATAACACAGTGGGGGAAAGGAGCAGGATCCAGAGTGACTGCCTCTAGAGGAAAAACAATCCACACGGCAGCTTTTACAGCAGGAGAGCATCATCATTATTATTATCATCAGCAGCAGCAGCAATTGTATATGTTTATGTGTGTGTGTGTATACATATATGTTTATATATACGTATGCATGTATATCTGTAATATATATAAAAATACGGGCAAGATGAGAACACCACCAATTGCACTTTACAACGCATCTGCAAAATATCGGTGGGTTAAAGCCAAGCTGCACCCCCTACCGGTCAATGCCAGCCACGATTGCCCCATCCCTCAGTGAGGACTAGCCCCTTGGAACCCGCAGCGCTTCCTGCCCCCTACCATGCTCCAGCGGCTCCTGGCGGGCCCAAGCCGCGGCCACTTTCTCCTTCAAGGCCGGCTCCCTCAAGGCGGCAGAGAAGTCCACGCAGATCTGCCGCTTCACGCGCTTCTTGGCGGTTTTTCCCGGCGGCGGCGGCGGAGACGAAGCCCCCGCCCGGGGCGGCCACCGCTTCGGCCTCCCGCTCATGCTTCCCCCGGCACGTGTGTTCCAACGGAGAACTACGACTTCCGACAGGCCCCGCGGGATGACGCCATTTCGAGAGGCGGGTCTACAGATTGAACGGTCCAATCATCGCGACGGAAGCAGGAAAAGGTTCGGAGCCGCCTGGAGGAGACTTTTTCTCTTTTCTTTAACGAGGTTCTGCAGTGATAGTCTATGGTCCACTAGTGGCATTTAGAACCGCTGAGGGGCGGGACCTCAGGACAGCCAATGAGCATGCGCAGGCGGCTTCTGAATGCCCAACAGGCCCAGCTCGTCACTTCGCTCCTATTGGCCAAAACCCTCCACTGCCATTAACGACACAGGGACGCTTCTTTGACCCCGCCTGTCTATGGCAGTCTGCGCTCACTGAGGAGCGAAGCCGCTCAGCGCCCTCCGCGGACTCTATGGCTCCCGGAAGTGCGGCCTGCTGGTTCCGGTGGGCCTTTTGGCGGGTGTGAGAGTAGCGCGGCTTGAGGGGACGGCGCCTTGGAGCATCTGCGCGGCCGGGGAATGCTGGTGGCCTTGTGAGCCGGCCCGCTTCCGCCATGTCCGTCGTGCCGCCCAACCGCTCCCAGACCGGCTGGCCCCGCGGGGTCAACCAGTTCGGGAACAAATACATCCAGCAAAGCAAGCCCCTCACCCTCGAGCGGACCATCAACCTGTGAGTAGGCACAGCAGGAGGGGCGCTCGGCCCGCCCTCGCTTCCTTCTCGGGGGTTGAGCCCGTTGCGTCAATCGAAGGCCCGGCGTATTGTGTGAAACCAGAACACGGGTCGAGTCGGGGTCCTAACGGGGCGTAAATAGCCTGGCAGCCGCGCTCGACTCCCTCGTGAGCGAGGGCGGCCTTTTTCCCGCCTGCCTGGATGCGAATTGATCCCTGACGATCCAGGCACGATCCCTTGATCCCACCTCGTGATGGTCCTTTGAGGGACCCGCGTCCCTGTCGCTTCCTTGACCTTCCGGGGGGCTTTATCCCCGCCACCCAGGCTGACAGCCTTGCTGTTTCCTGGTGGTCTCCCATCCAGGAAGATGAAACTACCTTCAGGAGGATCGAAGTTTGTGATCCCGGGATCTCCTGGTGGTCTCCCATCCAAGTTCTTTACAGAGGGATCTTAGTTCATAGAATAGACTAGGAAAGAATAGGAATAGAACAGAATAATAATAAGATATAATAATATCTTATATATTAATATTAATAATAATTTATTTCTTTAATATTTTTCTCGTCTTTCTGCTCCATGAACCGGGCAGAATAGAGATTCCCTTCTCCTGAGTTTGACTTGGGCATGGATATAGCAAGGGGTGTTTTTTGGTAAGAGCATGGAAATAGTTTGCCATTCTTATTCCAGGAGTTTTAGCTTCCTGGTCTGCTCTGTGCTCACAAACTACCAGGTGGCCTCTTTAAATAAGGCATGATCCAGTGTATTGTGGAGATGCTCAGTCATCCAGGTCATCCTTGTCTCAAAGGTGCTTTTTTCAAAAAGGCAACTGTAAAAGCTGTCTTTTTGAGGAATTGAAAAAGTTGCCATTTGAAAAAGCACCTTTGAGATAACTTATGTAATATGAGACCCCCCCCCGTCTCCCCAAGTGGTTATTTTAATAATCAGGTTAGGGGCTTGTGTGAATGCAACTGTTAACTAGCTGCCCTGGGACTGTCTGGGTGAGGAACAGACCATGCAAATTGAAATTCTGGTTCTGAGGATGCCTGTTGCTTTTGACTGTGGGATTTACTCTCTTCTATGCATGATGTAAAAAAAGACGAAGGCTTGTCCACACATGGGCTGCTAATTTCTTTTGCATGCTTGCACCCTGTTCATTCATTGGGCGCTTGTTGGAGAAGACATTTACCTAATCCATGTGTGTAATTTTTTTGTGCTTAGACTCCTGACCAGTGGTGGGATTCAAATAGGTGAACAACCAGTTCTCTGTGTGGATGCCGCTTCCGTAAGTCCGTTCTGGGCCTGGGCAACAAAAAATTAACTACCAGTTCTGCTGAAGTGGTGCGAACTGGCTGAATCCCACCACTGCTCCTGACCCAAACCTACAAGCGTGCCTCGTTGTTTTACATTGATTTATGAGAAGTATGTGTGCACCATAGTGTATTTGGTTTGCATTAATAGTTTGTGCTATAGTTTGACAGTGTATGAATTGACTATTAAAGTGAAGCTGAAGATGATGTGAAAATTTTCTGAAGCGCTGAGGCCTAATAATTTTATTGCAAAGCGGAAGATTAAACACAATAAAAGCACGATCTTTGATTTGTTTTTTATTAAGTGCTGGAATGGTACAGCTATGATATAGATCAGTGTTTCTCAATTTTAGCAACTTTAAGATGTGTGGATTTCAATTCCTGCTGGCTGGGATATTCTGGGATTTGAAGTACATGCAACTTAAAGTTGCTAAGTTTGCTAACTTTGAGAAACACTAATATAGATCTTTTGGTGAACAGGCTTTTGAAACTAGTCACGAAACCGATTTTCCTAAATCAGCTGACCCTTATCATTAATAACTTCCAGTTTTTAAGACTTTTTTTTTGATAGTCTTATAACTGAAAGTAAATTTCCTTCTTCAACTTGACGTTTCCTAATGTGTCCCACACAGCTCAATATAGCTTTAAGTGGATTATCAGCTTTAAGGCTTGGGTATTTTATTTCATATTTTTCTCCATCCTCCAGATTAGGGAAAATGTGCTAAAGATGCATTTTGAGATTGGCATAGAGTGGGCAATGAATTTACAGCTATCCTCATCAGAAATCCAGGGGTATCTCCTTTTTGGAAATATACAGTACTAACGAGGTACAATTTATATTATCTTGCGGGCTGCGGATAAAATCCTGTGATAGTTTACATGAAATTGTGTGCTTCAAGATGCCCTCCCTTCCTTCCAGGTACCCACTGACAAATTATACCTTTGGGACCAAGGAACCCCTCTACGAGAAGGACAGTTCGGTAGCCGCCCGATTCCAGCGCATGAGGGAAGAATTTGACAAGATTGGGATGAGGCGGACCGTCGAGGGGGTCCTCATTGTGCACGAGCATAGATTGCCTCACGTGCTGCTCTTGCAGTTGGGCACAACCTTCTTCAAACTGTAAGTAAAAGGGGTTTTCTTAAGCCGAGGCTGCACAGCTATTTGTCAAGGACAGTTTTCAACATCTTGTGTGGCCAACTGGCATTTCTTCCCGGATTCCAGAAAAAAGCTGCCCCTTGACAAATAGTGGGTTCTCTTAGCGACCGGTGTTGCTTTAATAACATCCTGTTCATTTAACAACTGGCTGGCTGGGGAATTCTCAGAGTTGGAAGTCCACATATCTTAAAGTTGTCAAGGTTGGGAAACACTGCAGAAATTTTTCATGGAGATTTCAAGCTCTAGAAGAGTTGAAAATAATTGACCTGGGCAGATCATCTGCCTGCCACAATTCTGGGTTCTGTTCTGGATTTAGCTGAAAACTATTAGTCCATATCCAATCCATTTATCTGCTCAGGTACTGATTCAGGATATTGGCTGCCTGAACTAGATAAAATGGAAAGTGGGTGCATTTTTAAATCAATGACATTCTCCCCACCATTCTCAGATATTTTAAATGCCAGATGTTCAGTCATTCAGGGAAAAAAGTTAGGGCCTAAAAAATGAGTCATGTAGTTATTATGGCTGTAAAGCAGAACAATTATTGTTCAGCCTCCCTTTTTGGAAAACTCTAGGAAAGATATCACTTTAAAATAACGTTAAGTGAAGACTTCTGAGGCATAAAGAGACCTTAATTTGTTGAATTGAAAGACCTTTGGAGTAGAGCTTTGGAGAGCTTTGTACTTCAAAAGAAGTACAAAAACTGAGTTTAAAGCTGAATAATTAACTTTGTCCAAGATTGTTCGTAGATGGCTGGTCATTATTTAAAAGGTATGCAATATAGACAATATTAATTGTCCTGCTTAAAGTGCCTCTGCCTCATAGCTTAATGTAAACATCTGATTTCTTTATAATTTAAGGTTGCGTGCTAATTTTACATTTTTGCCTCTATAAAATGACAATATTTAAAACACGTATTTTATGTTTTCAACAGGCCAGGTGGTGAACTTAATCCAGGAGAAGATGAGGTAGAAGGTCTTAAACGTTTAATGACAGAAGTAAGTACTACATTTATTAAAACAATTATTCTGAGAAGTGATCATTTAGAGAAGGGGCAGCCTGAAACAATGTTCTCCCTTTTTCTCTTGAAGACATTTTGTAATCTCCCCCCCCCCCCATATAGCAAAAAAATGAATACATGTTTTCCTTAGAATTTTGAATAAATTGTTTAAAATAAGACATTCCTCTGCCTCAGGTCTTTACTTTCTCAGAATGACTTAAAAACTGCATCGTGACATTATGTACAGTGATGTTTAATATTAGTTTATTACCCCTCCTGAAGACAAGCTGTATAGTCCAATTCTCAAATATGAGACCAGGAATAATCTATTTCCACTGGGCAGTGTTAGAAGACATTCAAAAGAGCAGGTGCTCGGTTCACAGATGACTCCACATGTCCTCATGGCCAGTTTTGCCACTGATGGTAACAGTTTTTAACATAAACTGTTCATAAACTGTTCATAAACCTGTTTCTGCTCAACCACACAGGCCTGTGTCTGCTGGATATTATGAAGCGTTCAAATATATATATTTATTGGCTTTATTTTAGTATTGTGAATGTCTTGTGTTTTTAATTTTAATTATTTGCCTGGCTCTCAGGCAGTAATTCACAACGTTAATGTTTGGAAGCTATAGCCCATTTGAAACAAATTCATCAAAAACATTTACAGAAACATTATCTTGATAAATTTGAATTCAGTTGTCTAGCTCTTCAAAAGGCTTTTAAAGGTAATGTAAGAATATTATTTATGTGCAAATAAACGTATGCACAACACATTACGTTCCTAAAGTAATAAAGTAATTTTGAATCCAAAGATACCGAATAAAATTGGATTTTTTATTCCCCCCCCCCAGTATATCAATTTTCCTGGGGTGGGGAAGGAAAATCTAAAGCACCCCATTTCATTTCAGATTCAGAGTTTTGTATGTATATGTTTGAAGTTACATTATTACATGGGTTTTAAAAAGTGGTTTAGAGCTAATAAAATCATTCTCAGAAATATGCTTCAGGAAAATCCAGTGGATATGTGGTTCTGGGCTGTTTCAGTTATTCTTATAAGGATTTACTTGGAAGCTGCTGAAAAGTTTTGGGGGAAATACATCTTGTGTAGCAGTGAAAAATAACTGTCGGATCAGATGGTAGATGCACTGTGGGTTCTTAATCAACTAGGCTGCAACTCTTGGCAAGCCCCTGAATGCTTTAATTAACAGTTGATATAAAAGGTGCTGGCTGTTGGCCTTAATGCTGAGCCCATCATATTTTGTCTCGGTGAAATGCCTGGAACTGCATCAAGATTTTACTTGCATCTGTATTTTGACAGATACTAGGTCGTCAAGATGGCGTCCTTCAAGACTGGGTCATTGATGACTGCATTGGTAACTGGTGGCGACCGAATTTTGAGCCCCCCCAGGTGAGAATTGAAGCCAACTCTTTAATTTAAACCAGAGATTTTCGAACGTGACCAGTTTAAGAAGTGGGGAATTCTGGGAGTTGCAATCCACACATCTGAAGAGTGGCCAAGTTTGAGAAACCCTGATTTAAATGATGCTTACATGGCTCATTCTGTTCCCAAAGTGGGTAAATTAACTGATCCCAAGATGCCAAGTCAATAACCCTTTTTATTTTTCCCTGCAGTACCCTTATATTCCAGCTCATATTACAAAGCCAAAAGAGCACAAGAAGCTCTTCTTGGTTCAGCTCCAAGAAAAAGGTAAGCAGCGGTTTCGTGCGGCTTTATTCCCTTGAGACAGGAGAGTAAAGTTCAAGGTAAATTTCAAGATGACCAGGACCCTGTAGCCCAGCCTGTATCTGGTTAATTCATTCGTGTTACACTACTTTTGCTTAACTATAGCAGTTTTACGTATCAGTACTGGTGGTCCTTGAGTTACCACCACAACTGAGCCCAAAATTTTTGTTGCTCAGGGAGACATTTGTTAAGTGAGTTTTGCCCCATTTTACGTCCTTTCTTGCCACAGTTGTTAAGTGAATCACTGCAATTGATAAGTTAGTCACAGGGTTGTTAAGTGAATCTGACTTCCCCCATTGACTTTGCTTGTCAGAAGGTCGCAAAAGGGGATCACACGATGCTGCGGCCGTCATAAGTATGAACCAGTTGCCAAGTGTCCGAATTTTGATCACGTGACCCTGGGGAGGCTGCAATGGTGGTGTGAAAAATGGTCCTAAGTCATTTTTTTCCCAGTGCCGTTGTAACTTCGAACGGTCACTAAATGAACTGTTGTAACTCAAGGACTATCTGTATTGCTCCAGGAGGTACATTTAGCTATGCGACAAAGCGTTCCTTTTGAATTTAGCGTTTAGCTAACTTGCTGCTTTTCCGAAGACCAATCCAGGCAGTGTTAATGTCTCCTACGTTGAGCATCTTTCTAAACGTTCTGCAATGAATGCAACGGGCTTGAACCTATTCAGCCTCATTGAGACCCTTTGATTGTCCTTTCTAATGTGCTTACTGGTCGTGATGGGTAGAGTGGAAAGCAAAATCATTTTACTCTGCATGCGCTATGGACCCGAAGAAAGAGAACTTAAATGTTTTTCACTTGAATTTGTTCCAGCTTTGTTTGCGGTCCCCAAAAACTACAAGCTAGTCGCTGCTCCTTTATTTGAGCTTTATGACAACGCGCCAGGCTACGGTCCTATCATTTCCAGCCTTCCGCAACTTTTGAGCAGGTAGAGTACGTGTGTTTCATGGGAAATAGAGGCCCTTTCTTGAACCCCCATCTTTTACTTTGGGGGGGCTGGCTGATCCTTTTAAAGAAGGGCAGGTTGTATGTGGACAGTGGCTTGGATCAAGTTAACTTACGAAGGAAAGGTTATTTCTTCTCTGTCTAACTATTTGGGATTGTGAGAAAAAAAGGAATTTTCCTCTCTGACTATATCTTATCCCTAGTACTATATAAGTCTGGCAGTATTACTGTTGGATGATGCTGTTTATGATTCAATCTGAGGTTCTGGAATTTTGTTGTTACACAATTTATTGAGTTTCTACATCATGCTGAAGAAGAGAGAGCTGAAGGAGCTTCTTGGACGAGAAGCGAAACGTCTTCAAAAGAAAAAGTCCAGTTGCCTTGTGATTCTAGATCACACCTTTGGCATTCTACATCACCCATCTCACCTAAGTGGCTCTGGAAAGTTGTACAACAGCATTCAACGTAACAAAATCCTATACATATACAAATAAAAGCAGAGCTGAAAGACAAAGTTAAAACAAGTTAAAATGTACAAGTAAAAACAAATTGGGTTAAAATTCAAAGGCTAGGAGGGTAACCAGGCACTTCTAGTCCTTTGGCTGATAAAGCTCCAATTTATATTAGAGTTATGCAGATTGTCCAATCTTCATCATCTTCAGGGGGTTTTGAAACCTGGAACTTTTTCAGGAGTTGTCATGAATGGACAAACCAACAGGAGCTGCAAATGGTGGCAACAATGCTGGAGAGCTGAACAGTAAAACGTCTTGCCATCCAAAATTTGCAATTTGCTTCCAGATTTTGAAAGTGCCGTCTTCCAGGCCTCAAGGGGCCAGAAGCATCAACCAAGGGCTACTTGTGTCTTTGGTATGGGACAAGGCAAAAGTCCCAGTTGCTGTGAACCAAGTACACTGCCTAAATTGTGCTCCAGATTTTTTTTTGAAGTGCAGAGAGTCGGCATGCAATTGCCCAGAAATTAAAAAAAAAGAAAGAAACCCACCTTTCTAACTGAGCATGTAATATGTTTTCTCCCTCTCTTTGGCAGGTTCAATTTTATTTACAACTGAATTTCCTGAAGTGTGAGTAGAAGCCGTCTCTGTGAGAACAGCTTTAAAATGTAGAAGAGAAAATGTGACGCAAGGATTTTTTTTATGTTTCTCTCTCTCACTCTCTCTCTCTCTCTCTCCCCCTTTGAGTTTTCCCCCTCCCCAACTTTCTACTCTCTGAATAGGAAAGTGAATCTTGACTGTTTAGACAGTGGAATAAGAACTGTAATTGCATTTTAACCACTTATGTTGTGATAGTCACCTGATTTTTTTTTTAAAATAACATTAAACAAAAATGGACTCAGTTGTGCGTTCATGGGTGGCTCTTTTTCAATACTTGTAAGAGAGATTTCTATCCATCGGCTGATTGGCACCCTAGTGTTCTGCGGGGGGCTTAACGGAGGTGGTCTTCAGTGTTTTAACCATATATTGGGAAATTAAAAAAAAAACCGTTGAAAACCAGTAATGTGGGTATCACTTGGGGACTTCTGAAAAATTGCACGGCTGAAATTTGAGGTATAGCTTTTCGCCAGCAGATATGCTTCAGTAGTTTTGTCTAGAAAAGCTGGCAAAAAGGTGGAATAGATACCAGTTGGTTTGGTTTAGTGGTTAAGGCATTGGTAGAAACCAGGAGGAGTTGAGTTCTAGTCCTGCCTTAGGCCCAAAACCAACTGAATGACCTTGGGCCAGTCACACTCTGTCAGCCTTAGGAAGGAGACAATGGCTTCTGAAAAAACTTTGCCGAGAAAACTGCAGGGACTAGTCCAGCTACTTATCAAGAGACAAAAGGGAGGGAGGGAGGTGAGGGAGGGCGAGGAAAAATGGGAAGAAGGAAGGAAAGTAAGAAGAAAAGAAAGAGGGAGGAAGGGGTATCTCATTGCATCAAACTTAGCTCTCGCCATGCCATTTTTTCTCTCTGCTTTTTATAGAACTAAAGAGGAAGCAAACTAAAGAAGTAAATTAAATATACAGGGCCACTCATATTGGAGCTATTGAAAACACCGAGAAAGTCACCCCCCCCCCAAGTTTCAAATTGTGTCATGCCTCTTATCAGCTGAGGCCAGCAAATTCATTTCTACAGGAAATGCTGATTTCTGGCTCGTATATTTTTGGTGCACTGTAGACAAGTAATTTTCACATTTAGTATTTGTATGCAAATGTTCACAAGTAGCTTAGCCAGTTTGGATTCCAGGGGCCGTGTAATTGTCTTGTTTAAAGGCTGTCAAAATAAGTCTGAATAATAGGGATTCCCTTTCATGTTTGAATTGCGTTTTGGTTTATCCACTTAAACCAAAGTTACTAACAACTGCAGCAATGCACTTAACTGTGGCACGGAAGGTCGTAAAACGGCAACATTCACTTAACAAATGTCTCAATTAGCAACAGAAATTTTGGGCTCAACTGTGGTTGTGCATCAAGAACTACCCGTGTATACAGAGATAGATAACAGATACAGAGATATAGGGGTAGGTAGATACATCGATATAAAGATATGTATAGATATAAATATAGATAAAGATAAATGAAAACAAATTCAGTTGCTGGACTGTCAGTCTTCTCTAGTCAGAAATGATGGAGGTTGTCATCTTAACAACAACAACAGCAGCAGCAGCAAAAAAAATTCTGGAAGTCCACAGCTGCTGTAAGGTGCTTCATTTCCCAGCGCTTAAAAGTAAATCGGCCCAGGCAGGCTGACATTTTTATAGGCCCGAAGCAGCACTTGACAGCCCTGCAAGAGAGGTGTTGTGCGAAGGACACCTGATCAAAGTCTAGCGGCCACATGGGGCAGTGTGTGTGTGACGTTTGGTGGCCCTGAACAAAGGGCTAGAAGGATGAATCATCAGGACAGGATGTGACTCTTTAAGGCAGGGCTCAATGGCCTGCTGAGGAAAGTATTTTGGTTATATTTTTATATTCCAGGAGTTCAAAGCTGCTTAGGGTGCCCTTCTACTGCAGGGGTCCCCAAATGTGTCCACTTGAAGACTTGTGGACTTCAACTCCCAGAATTCCCCAGCCACGCTGGCTGGGGAATTCTGGGAGTTGAAGTCCACAAGTCTCCAAGTGGACACGTTTGGAGACCCCTGCTCTACTGTGTCATCCCACAACAATCTGAGTAGGATGTGCTGGGAGGGAGTAGTCTAAAATCCCCCAGAGAACTTGGGGGACTGGTCCAAAACTTGGGGGGACTGGTTCACAATCCCCCAGGCCAGGGGAACTTGATTGGTGTGTGGGGGGGGGGCGGCCTTGAAGGGACCGTTGCCGTTTTCCTTTCCATCTCCTGAACTACCACATCACAGTGCCTGGACTCACAACCCCCTCCTCCCAATTTTCTGGCCTCTACAGACTTGGAAATCCCCCCTCCCTTACATATCTGCAAAGTATTTCAGGGCTGTGTCATCCTTCCCCCCCCCTGCTAATTTTAAAAAATTTAATGGGAAGTTTTAATAACCAAAGATGATACAGAAGAATAAAGAGAATAAAAGATGTACAGAAAGGAAAAGAAAAAAGATAAGGAAGGAAAAAGGCCTACAGGTAGGTAGTCTTCGACTTGCAACAGTTTGTTTAGTGACTATTCCAAGTTACAACGGCACTGGAAAAAGGGACTTAACAACCGTTTTTCACGCTTACGACCGCTGCACCATCCTCCCCACGGTCCTGTGTTCAAAATTCGGACGCTTGGCCCTCGGTTTATATTGACGGTCGCGGTGTGACCTGTCTTGACAACCGGGGAAGCCAGGTTAATTTTGCAACCTTGACCCCTGCAGCGATTCCCTTAACAACGGTGGCAAGGCAGGTCGCAACACGGGACAAACCTGCCTTAACCTGTCTCGCTTAGCGACAGACCTGTTGAGCTCCGTTGTGGCCGTGGGGAAGAAAGACCCTGCCGGTCTCCTTCACGTGTACAAACAGACTTCAGAATCGCCCCCTCCCCAATACCGTGAGGCGCAAGGATCTCCCCACAACCCACTCCTCTTAGTCAGAGCCCAGAGACCCATAACTCGGGTCTCTTTGCTCCCTCCACCAAGGGGGGGGCACTGTGTGTGTGTGAGAGGGAGACAACCCCGGCCCCTTTTGCCCCCCATTCTCCCTGCGCCTCCCCCCCGTATACCCACCCATCCTCTTTCCCCGGCGGGGCTGCCTCCCCCCTGGCCAGTCCCCCGGAGCATCTCCCATGATCCCCGGCTGTATCCCCCAAGGGCCGGCCGGCCGCCCAGCGCTGACAGGCACGCAGCCCCTTCCCGGACCTGCAGCTCCGCCGGCAACACTGTAGCGAGGTCCGGCGGGCTATCCCAGCCCCAGGTCCGGCCAGCAGAGCGGAAGGTTCGCCGCCGCGTCGTCCGGTCCCCGCCGGCCCTGCGGCTCCCGGGCCGCCTGCCCTGCCCTGCCCTGCCGGCTCCGGCTGAGGGAGCCCCGCGGGCGGGCGGGCGGGCGGGCGGCCAGGCGGGCCCGGCTCCTCCTCCCCCGCCTCCGCCGCCTCCTGGCCAGGCAGGCGAGCAAGGAGGCAGGCAGGCAAGCAAGCAGCCCCTCGGCCCGGCCCGGCCCTGCTCGGCTTCGGCGGCCGGTGAGCGCGGGCGACGAACGAGCGACCCAGCGAGCGAGCGACCCCCGCTGTTGCTGGGAGACCCGCCGGGCAGCCCCCGCCATGCCGCTGCTCTTCCTGGAGCGCTTCCCCTGGCCCAGCCTGCGCGTCTACGCGGCGCTCAGCGCCCTGGCCCTGCTGGGCTGCCTGCTCAGCGCCTACAGCGCCCTTCGCCAGGCCGAGCCCCCCGGCCCCGGCCGGCCCCCGCCCAACCCTGACGGGGACGCCCCGGCCCTTGAGCCGCCGCCGCTCGCGCCGGGCCCCGGCCCCGGCCCCGCCGCGCTGGACGTCACCTACTACCTGCTCTCCGACGGCCTCTGCGTCTGGGTGAGCCCCGGGGGCTGGGGAGGAGGGCGGACTCTGGGTCCCATGATCCCCAGCTGGGGGAGAGGTATAGGAGCCCAGGGGGATGGACTCTGGGTCCCCTAATCCCCAGCTGATGGGGAACGGGTATAACAGCCTAGGGGATGGACTCCAGGGCCCCTAATCCCCACCTGGTGGGGGGAGAGGTATAGGAGCCTAGGGGGATGGACTCCAGGGCCCGTAATCCCCAGCTGGTGGGGGGGCAGAGGTATAGGAGCCTAGGGGGATGGACTCCGGGTTCTCTAATCCCCAGCTGGTGGGGGGGGCAGAGGTATAGGAGTCTAGGGGGATGGATACTGGGTCCCCTAATCCCCAGCTGGTGGGGGGGAGAGGTATAGGAGCCTAGGGAGATGGACTCCAAGTCCATAATCCCCAGCTGGCAGGGGGGAGTATAGGAGCCTGGGGAGGCAGGGAGGGTGCGCCTTCCGGAGATTGGCCTGCCCTCCTAGCACAACTGGGCACTCCTGGAGAGGATTGAGTGGAGTCTGATTCCCATGGTCCCCAGCTGGGAGGACTGGGTGATAGGAGGGGTGATTTGAGAGCTCAGAAGCAGATTCTCAATGCCATGTTCCCCAGCTAGCAGGAGGGGGGCATGGGTAGGATGGTCTCTGGCGGTGTCAGTAGGGAGCATCTTCTGGGGGTGACCCTCATTATGCCTAGATAGCAGGACTGGGTGCTCTGGGTTCCTTGGGACTCCAGCTCCCGTGATCCCCAGCTGGAAATATTGAACAATAAGAGGGGTGATTCGAAAGCCTTAGGCATGGACTCTGACTCCCATGTTCCCTAGCTGCTAGGAGAGGGCAATGGCAGGGATAGTTCATCAACTTTGGGGGACCTCTTTGCCCCCCTGCGTGGGAGTGTCCCAATTCTAGTTTCTTCTACCCTGGCCAGCGTCTTCAGGGAAGATGGGCACTATAGTCCCATCCTTAGCCAACTCGGCTGGCAGAAGAGGCAGCTGCTGAAGGACTCCCTCCTCATCAATGGGATTGGGGGATGGGCCTTCAGAGAACATTGTTTGGCACCAGCATTTGGAGAGCTCCATCCTCCTCTGCTGTCCAATTTTTGGGGAATTGTAGTCAAAAGCATTGGATGGACTTACCTCGCTGTCAAAGGACCCATGCCTACTCTTCTTTCCCATCTGTACAACAAACAGAGAGAGTGATGACAGTTGTGGGTCAGTCTCATTTGGAGAAGCCCTGTCATCCGAGGCCAGCATAGACCGGGAGGATGGCATTTGTCCAAAGAGGCCCTTATCTCCTAGCCATGTTGGGAAAATTGGGCCAATAGCACAATTGTGGGGCCAGTGTGTCAGTCAGGAAGTAAAATTAGGACAGGGAGGGGAAATGTGAGCTGGTCAGACAACACATGAAAGCAACCCTGTGTAGGTTGGATTGAGTGGGAGGGATCTCCAGAAAGCTCTGGGCGAGAAGAATAGGAAGCTTCCCAGGTCTAGGTGGGCTTTGGGTGATGTGTGGGTAGAAGATGTTTTCTGGGGTCCGTGTAGTATGATAAAGAAAATTGTGGAAGATGTTGTTGTTGTTAGTTGCGAAGTCGTGTCCGACCCATCGCGACTCCATGGACAATGTTCCTCCAGGCTTTCCTGTCCTCTACCATCTTCTGGAGTCCCTTTAAGCTCATGCCTCCTGCTTCAGTGACTCCATCCACCATCTCATTTTCTGTCGTCCCATTCTTCTCTTGCCCTCAATCTTTCCCAGCATAGGGCTCTTCTCCAGTGAGTCCTTCCTTCTCATTAGGTGGCCAAAGTACTTGAGGTTCAACTTCAGGATCTGGCCTTCTAAAGAGCAGTCGGGGTTGATCTCGTCTAGGACTGACCAGTTTGATCACCTTGCAGTCCAGGAAAAGATATAAGGGCCTAAAGAACTGGGGGAGAGGGGGCATTGGAGTTGCTTTGAAGTCAATGTGAAGAAGAGTTGGGGTGCAGGCATAATTCTTAACCTGGGATGAACAGCTGGATGCCCTCCAGGGGTTTTTGGATTGCAGCTCCCATCACCTTACGGTGGCGAAGTGGCTGGGATTTGGGTAAGTTACAGTTTTTAAACCTGAGGTTATCCTTGGCATGAACGCCATTCAGGTGTGATGGACAAATCCTTGAGTTTGCTTAGAACACGGGTGTCCAACTCGCCACGTCACGTGACGTGTCGCGACGTATCGCGACTCTTTGCATTGCTGGCAATGGGGTGGACATGGTTTCGGTATAATGAAACCGGCCTGCGGACCGGCAGTTTGACACCCCTGGCTTAGAAAGAGATCTTGGTTTCCAAGACAGATCATTCTGGGGTTTCTGCCTCTCAACAGGTTGCTTTAAAAAGGCCTTGATGGGTTCTGCATAATTTAGAAAGGCTAGAGCAGGGCTCTTCAAACTTGGCCCTTTTATTACTTGTGGACTTCAACTCCCAGCTTGAGAAACATACTGTGTTAGAGATTAGTATTAGTGCAGTACTAGAATTCTTGAATGATATTTTAGCCGATCCTGCTCTGTAAAGTCTGTGGCCAACTGCAGAATCATCAAATGTTTTTGAAGAAATAAGGTGATACTTCATTTGATTTCATGTTCTTGTCTTGCATATCTTGCCAATATGTAAGAATTAGGGGATTTATGGACGAGGATTGTGAACAGAAGTCCCTCTATTTGCAGAATCATTTTCTTTAGGATGGTTTTGGGATCCTTTGGTAAATGTCAGCTATTGTTTTTGAACTTCACTCTGCAAGGTTTTGTGTGAAGGGTTCTCAGGTTGCAAGAAATAATGGTTAGGATGAATGACTTGCTTATGTGTAGCTGAATTAGTCAGATCTACTTAAAAATCTATTTTGGCTTGTATCAGATTTTTTCATTATGTGACTTCTGTTGTTTTACATGTACGTGGAGTGAAAACATTAAGCCATGTCATATTTTTAACTCCAGAATAAACCACTGAATATGTAATTAAAACCTAGATGGTGACTCGGGTGTTACGGATAAATGCCATAAAAATGACAGACAAGAAGGTGTATGTCTACAGTGTGCAATCAGAATTACAGCTTCTTATTAATTACTTGATTCTCATAACTACGGATTAGCCTTTGTTTGAAATCTTTTGACTTTAAATAATGAAGTGTGTGTTAATGTGTCTTTGTTCTTTGCTTTGTTTGCTACACATCATTTTGATTACAAATTTTGAAGAGATGTTATATTAATGTTAGTAGTTGTGGGTTCCCATCTTCCACAGCCTGCATATGCGGCTGTTGGCTGTCCTAAGTGGGTGTTACATTTTGTCCCAAGTAAATCTGAGTTTTAGGACACTTTGGTACTCTTGTTCTTTTTGAGATTCAGTTTACAGATGAGCTGTTCTGTTCTGTTCTGTTCCATTCCATGTTCTGTTCCATTCTGCTCCGCTCCAAACAGAATAACAGAACTGGAAGGGACCTTGGAGGTTTTCTAATCCAACATCATCATCATCATCATCATAATAATAATAATGATGATGATGATGATAAAGTTGGAAGGGACCTTTGAGGTCATCTAGTCCAACACCCTGCTCAGGCAGAAAACCCTATACCATTTAAGACAAATGACTGTCCAATCGCTTCTTAAAAACCTCCAGTGATGGATTCTATTCTATTCTATTCTATTCTATTCTATTCTATTCTATTCTATTCTATTCTATTCTATTCTATTCTATTCTATTCTATTCTATTCATAGTGAGATTCTGTTGTATTCAAAGTTGCTTGATAGTGAAATGGGTGGGACATAAAATTAATACATAACAATTCTAATTCTAGTTCTTTTATTTTATTTCCCCCCAGGTGTTGGTGAATACAGCCTGTTGCATTCTGATGTTGATTGCAAAGCTAATACAGACCACTGTTTTTGGTCCCCTCCGTGTTAGTGAAAGGCAGGTAAGGAATGATGGTTTGGCATGACCATTAAGTTTAATGAATGTTGAATGATGGGTGAATTATATTCATTAAATTCATGTTCTTTAATGTGCATCACCTATTTTTATTATCTGAGCCCATGAGAGCAAAATTTTTAATTTTTAGGTGCAATTCCACCCCCCCTGAAAATTATTCAAAAACAGCTACTCAGTATGTTTTATCTTTTTTTAAAATGTATTATATGTTCAGAAAGAAAGTAGTATGCTTCAATTTTAGAATAAACCTTAAGTGAATTACGCATGACTATCCCTCTGCAGTTTAATTAAACATCCATTCACCAATTAGTGACCCAATTATAGCTTATCCTTTTGCATAATAGTTCACACTGTGTGGGGTGCCCTTTGAATAATTCAAGAATAATGACTATCTGTGCAAATCTCTTTTTCAGCATCTCAAGGACAAGTTTTGGAACTTTATCTTCTACAAGTTTATTTTTATTTTTGGGGTGTTAAATGTCCAAACCGTAGACGAAGTGGTCATGTGGTGTCTCTGGTTTTCTGGACTTGTCTTCTTACATCTCATGGTCCAGCTGTGCAAAGACAGGTTTGAATATGTAAGTTTATTTCTCTACATATCTGGGCAAGCAATAGGGGATCTCCAATTTGTCACTTTGATATTTGAGGTGCAAGAATCACTTTTCTTTTGTGCATGAAATGGGCCACAAATTTGGGTGCCCTGCCAAAAAGCTAGAATAGAGTAATGGAGCTGGGTCTTTAGTGCAAACCCTACTTTGATCTCCTGTTCTGGTTGTGAAAGTTGATTCTTTGCAGGGGATACAGACTGTGTCACATCTAGGCTCAGAACCCTTGTTACCCATTGGTGGCTTTTAAAGAGACAGAGGATTACTCAATGTGTTGAGATGCCATAATAATGAATAATACATCTAGAGCTGCCCAGAGTAAATTGCAATATTTCTCAAACCCTGGAAACTTTCAGATTGAAACTAACTTGAAACTATTCACCAGATCTCCTTAAAGGCAAACTATGGGGGGTGTTGTTCTGAATCTTCTGAATAGTCTCAGCTGATGGCCATTTTCTAACTCATTTGCTGGTATTTTCCAGCTGTCTTTTTCGCCCACCACGCCGTTGAACAGCCACATTCGAGTCCTGACGCTGCTGGTTGTCATGTTGCTTTCCTGCTGTGGCCTCGCGGTGGTGTGTGGCGTCATCGGCTATACCCACGGCATGCACACGCTCTCCTTCATGACTGCGGAGGTGAGATTCCTGGTTAAATCATGTATCTTTTAGGCTTTCTGGTTTATCAGGCGTCGTCATGCACGCGGTGTGTGTGTGTGTGTGTGTGTTACATTTATTTTTGTGTCTTTAGCCAGTACAGGTAGTCCTCGACGTAACGACCACAGTTGAGCCCAAAATATCTGTGGTTAAGTGAGACATTTCTTAAGTGAGTTTTGCCCCATTTTACAGTTGTTAAGCGAATCACTGCAGTTGATAATCTAGTAACCCGGTTGTTAAGTGAAGCTGGCCTTCCCATTGACTTAGCTTGTCAGATGGTCGCAAAAGGGGATCACATAACCCTGAGACACTGCGACCGTCGTAAATGTGAGTCAGTTGCCAAACGTCCAAATTTTGATCACGTGATCATGGGGCTGCTGCAATGGTCGTAAGTGTGAAAAACGATCATAAGTCACATTTTTCAGTGCCGTTGTAACTTTGAACAGTCAGTAAACAAACTGTGGTAAGGCAAGGACTTCTTGTATATGCTGGAAATTGGTTTTTTCATATGGTTAAGTAGCCAGCATAGATAATTTGTGACTTAACAACCATTCGTATTGCACCCATTCAAAATTACAACCGGACTGAAGTGACTTACAACCATTCCTTGTACTTATGACTCTTACGGCTTTCCCCGTGGTCATGTGATCACGGTTCGGCCACTGGGCAGCTGGCATGTGTTTAGCGTGTTTGCAGCATCCCACGGTCACATGATTGCCAGTTGCGACGTTCCCAGCCAGCTTCCAACAAGCCAAGTCCACAAGGGAAGCCAGATTTGTTGAACAACTGTGCAATTTGCTTAATGACCAGGGCCAAAAAAGGTTATAAAATTGGGTGTGTTTCGCTTAATTCAGGCCCTAATAGTGGACTACCTGTGAATCCCTCTCGTTACTGTATTTTGCTCCATGCTTGAGTGAATTTAGTCATGGTCTGTTGAGCGGAGCTCAAACAGCAGGGATCGGAATCATATCGGAAGACCTAGGCTAGGATTAGACCACCTTGGCTCTTTTATGACTCGTGGAGTTCAACTCCCAGAATTCCTGAGCCAGCCATGCTGAGGGAAAAGGGAGAGGTTTCCAAGCTGAGCCAGGCTGGCTCAGGAATTCTGGGAGTTGAAGTCCACCACTCATGAGGGGGCCATAGTTCCCCCATGCTGGTTCAGGGATTCTGGGAGTTGAAGTCGGCAAATCATGAAGGAGCCAAGCTAGCTCGTTTTCAAGAACAAATTTGTCTGCCTTTCTTAACCTTGTTTTTAATATAATCAGTTCAGGATTGCAGCATTCGCAAGCTAGGAATGTTCTCCTCCCAAACCTTTTCCCATAATCACAGGAGGCCTACACTTCAACGTTTAAACTCTCACCCTTATAATTATGTAATTATAATTAAAATTAATACCCAACATTCCTTGGCCTATCGTTCTTTGAATAGCCGCCACATTTGACCTACCAAGGTTAAAAGGTTTCAATAGATTTATAGGCTATTTATTAGCGTGGCCTCCCTTTCTACAAGCTACTATAGTCCTTTGATTCTTTATTTGACACATACCCCCAAAAATCTATAAAGAGTTTGGATTGTCTGCATTGGGATTGGCAATTTCCAGCTTCCTGGTTATGAAGTTGGTTATGATGCAGACGGTTCTCCAGCTCGGCTTTACCAGTCAACCGGAGACCTTGTCTATTTTGGCCCCTCGGCTTGATTGACAGGACCCGTTAAATACCTGCGTCCTTTTCCAGTGGCATCACATTCCTTTCTTGTGTTCAGTGTGTCATTGTGATGACCCTCAGGCCTTTTTTGGGCATCAGGATAGGCCTGGCAGAGATTCTGAGTAGCAATGGATTGTTCTGAACGGCATGTTATTCAATTTAAAAGGGTTAAAAAAAAAAAAAAAAGATATAGAGGTCATCCTTGATTTACAACAATTCATTTAGTGGCCAAAACTACAACTACACTGAAAAAAAGTGACTTATGACTGTTTTTTTCACACCTACAACCGTTACAGTGTCTCCATGGTCCCATGATCGAAATTCAGATGCCTGGCAACTGATTCGTATTTATGACGGTTGCCGTGTCCCTGGATAATGTGAAGGCCATAAATGGGGCAACATTCACTTAACAAATGTCTCACTTAGCAACGTAAATTTTGGGCCCAATTGTGGTCGTAAGTTGAGAACTACCTGTGGTTCTGCAGTTTGTATTTTGAGCCTGTCTTTCAAAGGATTTGCAAGCTTTTCCTGTTTAGCAGAGTTAACAAATATTCAGTTTCCTCTTTCAAGTTACTTAATACAACAATCATTTTCTGTTACCCATTACTCATCCATTTTACCTATTTACTTTCCTCTTGTAACTCGTCCATGGATCCAGCATTAAGTTTCTCTCTAAAACACACTGAATTAAAAAAAAAAAAAACATTCTGCAAACTGTCCTGCGGCTGTAAACTAATAAAATCTTGAACTGGTATTGCTTATCATAACTTAAGCAGGCTTTTGTGAGCAGAGTTGAAGTTTTCCTTTGAAGCAACTTCAGGTAATCCTTGACTTACAACCATTTGTTTAGCAACCATTCAAAGTTGTAAGGGCCCTGGAAAAAGAGACTTAGGATTAGGGGACCGGAGGCCAAAACAACCTGCCTCCAGAAGCAGTGAGTGCTCCAACACTGGATGTTTTTAAGAAGAGACTGGACAGCTATTTGTCTGAAATGGTATAGGGTTTCTTGCCTGAGCAGGGGGTTGGACTAGATGACCTCCAAGGTCCCTTCCAACTCATCATCATCATCATCATTATTTAAAAAACGGTTGCTGGAATTAAGTATGTCTAGTCTAAAGAAAAGAAACAGGGGTGACATGATAGCAGTGTTCCAATATCTCAGGGGTTGCCCCAAAGAAGAGGGAGTCAAGCTGTTCTCCAAAGTGTCTGAAGGTAGGACAAGAAGCAACAGATGGAAACTAATCAAGGAGAGAAGCAACCTAGAACTAAGGAGAAATTTGCTGACAATTAAAACAATTAACCAGTGGAACAACCTACCTCCAGAAGCGGTGAATGCTCCAACACTGGAAGTTTTTAAGAAGAGACTGGACAACCATTTGTCTGAAATGGTATAGGGTTTCCTGCCTGAGCAGGGGGTTGGACTAGATGACCTCTAAGGTCCCTTCCAACTCTGTTATTCTAGTCTTTTGACTGGGTCTTCGCATGTAGGACCAGCATAGAACCTCATGTTCATGTGATCAAAATTCGGGCATTTAGCAACTGGTATTTACAATAATTACAGCATTCCGGGATTACGTGATCACCTTTTGTGACCTCCTCAGCTGGCTTCCTGACAAGCAAAGCCAATGGGGGAAGCTGGGTTCATTTAATGACCACACAATTCATTTAACAAATGCAGTGGTTCACTTAACAATTGTGGTAAACAGGTTGGACATGACTCCGCCTTGCTGAGCAACATAATTTTTTTTTCATCTCGTCTTATATCTCTGTTCAATACTTCCAAGAACTAAAATAAACAATGCTTGCCTTGTCTGTTTTTGGTATCTCACAGGGCTTTGTCAGTTCCCCATTAACAACTATTTGTGCTTCCTGCGAGGTAGAACTCAATCTTGCCCATTTAATAAAATTGTCTCCAAAAATTTTTTCTTACAAAAACAAAGCTACTCTGATATTTTGGGCTGGTTTTTTTGTTCAGAAGAAAACTGCAAGTGTCCAAGATCAGGGAGACATGTATATAATTTCTGTAACTTAATCTTTTTGTGATCTTGGCCACTGCCAATTGTGGAATGTGGAAAGAATATTTAAACTCGTAGGACAGGAAAAACCATGTGCTTGTTTTTGTGGCAACTGCTCAAGCTTCAGAGTATGATCAGTGAATTTTTTTTGTCCCCTCCAGTCCCTGCTTGTTACCGTAAGAACCGTGCACGTGATTTTACGGTAAGTACGATATCCACGTTGAACCGGTTGTGTAGGATTTCCTTCACAACATGGGCGTGACCCCAATATCAGACTGTCATTCGTTTGGCCTAAGGATGAGGGCGGTTATTTTGTCCTCGTCGTTTTGTTCTGGTTAACTTTCCCTTTGTGAGCTTGCAAGTAATTATCAACACCTTCCAGAAATGCAATAAAAGTGAGTTTTGCAACGTAAAAAGGAGTCATTCAAATGTAAAATGTGAAAAATAGGACTAGTGGCGTTCAGCATACCTGCTGGGGAATTGTGGGGGTTGAAGCCCATGTATCTTAAAATTGCTAAGATTGGGAAACGCTGGTTCAGCGTATTGTGGAAATCCAAGAACTTTCTTATTTGGTAACTAGGTTAAGTTTCTTGTAGAGATAACGCCAATGGGGCGTAGCTGAAAATGGATATAATACAGGTCATCCTCAACTTACAAACATTTGTTTAGTGACCAGCACTGAAAAAAGTGACTTATGACCGTTTTTCTCACTTACGGTCCTCACGGTCACCTGATCAAATTCAGAGAGCACCCAGGACCCCCCCCCATTTCAACTCAGAGCTACAAATATTCTCCTTTATTGATATTAGCCGATTTCTGCTGTTGCTCTCTTCCACATGGAACTGACAGGGGAAATCAATTCAGGATTTCTCTTTCACCCAGTTACATCATTCATCTCTGGGATCTGAATCACGAAGGCACCTGGGAGACCAAAGGCACCTATGTTTATTACACCGATTTCATCATGGAGCTGATGCTGCTGTCCCTGGATTTGATGCATCACATTCATATGCTGGTATAAAAGTTTAATAAATTGTTTCGTGCGTCCCACATCAGGCAGATGTGATGCGGGGCCAGCCTTTAGAGAATGCAGAGCGTCTACGGCAGCTCATCTCGGCCAAGTCGCCACAGGACAGCTAACGGTGGGACAAGAGTGAGGTTAATATTGAAGAAGTAGTGGAACAGAATCATTAAAGGATGCCAAAGGAGGGAGAAAATGAAATGTGAATGACAAAAATTAAAATAATGTTTTAATTATTTTAAATAATTGAATTGTTGAATTGCCCCACAGCAAATTGTCCCGTGGTCAGTTGCCCATGGCGATGTGTCCCCAGCAAATTGGCCATAGTGAGTTGGCTGTGGCAAGTTAGGATAGAATAGGATAGGATAGGATAATTAGGATAGGATAGGATAGGATAATAGAATAGAATAGAATAGAATAGAATTAGAGTAGAATAGCATAGCATAGCATAGAATAGAATAGAATAATAGAATAGAATAGTATAGAATAGAATAGAATAGAATAGAATAGAAATATAGAATAGCATAGCATAGAATAGAATAGAATAGAATAGAATAATAGAATAGAATAGAATAGAAATAGAGTAGAATAGCATATCATATCATAGCATAGAATAAAATAGAATAGAATAGAATAATAGAATAGAATAGAATAGAAGAATAGAGTAGAGTAGAGTAGAGTAGAGTAGAGTAGAGTAGAGTAGAATAGAAATAGAGTAGAATAGAATAGAAATAGAGCAGAATAGAGCTGGAAGGGACCTTGGAGGTCTTCTAGTCCAGCCCCCTGCTCAAGCAGGAGACCCTATACCATCTCAGACAAGTGATCGTCTAGTCTCTTCTTAAAAATCTCCAGTATGGAGCGCCCACGATTTCTGGAGGCAAGCTGTTCCACTGGTTAATTGTCCTCACCATCAGGCAGTTTCTCCTTAATTCCAGGTTGCTTCTCTCCTTGATCAGTTTCCAACGGTTGTTTCTCGTCCTGCCCTCTGGTGCTCTGGTGAGCAACCTGAACCCCTCTGCCTTGTGGAAGCCCCTCAGATACGGAAACACTGCTATCATGTTTCCCCTATTTCTTCTTTTCTTTAGACTAGCCAAGCCCAAGTCCTGCAGCTGTTCTTTGTATGTTTTAGTCTCCAGGCCTTTGATCATCTTAGTTGCTCTTCTCTGAATTTTTTTCCAAACTCTCAACATCTTTTTTGTGATATGGTGACCAAAATTGATTGCTTCTTTTCTTTAATCAGAGCAATCAATTTAGCCATCTCGGCTAACTCCCCTCAACCTCTGCAACCATTCATCCATTTCCTTTTATTTTGGGGCATAAAGTATCTGTGTCCTTGAAGAAGGTTTGACTGGGCATCGTCAAATAATTTTCTTTTCTGTATTTGTGTTCTTTCTCTTGCAACGGCGATTTGCTTTCCTGCTCTTCTTGGGAAAAAATATATTTGGAAGCTGTTTGGCAACATCTGGTTGTCGATGGCCAGTCTGGTGATCTTTATGCAGCTGCGCTACCTGTTCCATGAAGTTCAGCGCAGACTGCGGCGCCATAAGAATTACCTGCGGGTGGTTGGAAACATGGAAGCAAGGTGAGTCTGTTCCTTGAATTCTAGAGCGAGAAGCCTGGAACCCCCCAGCTTGGGGCCTTGCATGTCTTATATTCATGCTTTTGGGGGGAATTGGGATGACCTTCATCATAACTGCAAAATAATTATAATACAACACAATATTCTTTATCAGCCAAGTGTAACTAGCCACACAAGGAGCTTGTCTCTGGTGCATCAGCTGTCAGCGGGCATACAAGCAACAAAGTGATAAATCATAAGATACCAATAGGAGAAGGTGATAGCAAAGATGAGGATGTCCCAAAGATGCTTTTTCACGAGGCAACTGGACTTTCTTGTTTTTCTTTGAAGATCGTTTGCACCTCAATAACTCAATAATCATCCAAGAAGCTTCTTTATCTCTGAGCTGAAGAAGCTTGTTGGATGAGAAGCAAAATATCTTCAAAGAAAAACAAGAAAGTTCAGTTGCCTCATGGAAAAGCATCTTTGGGACAACTATGACCTGGATGACTGAGAATCTCCATAGGCAGGAAAGATGAGAAGGATAGTAATAATAATAATAATAATAATAATAATAATAATAATAATAATAATAATAATAATAATAATAATAATAATAAAAAAACATCCACGCAGTGACATTGATAGACTTTATCTACCAAGGCAAATAGGTGGGCGTGGAATGCTACAAGTACATCAGATGGTTTGTCTTACTACAGCATGCCTTTATTTAGTGAATTACAGGTAGGCCTTGACTGACAACCTTTTGTTTAGTGATCACTCAAAGTTATAATGGCTGGGGACCAGTCCTCACCCTTGCGATCATCGCAGCATCCCCATGGTCATGTGATCAAAATTTGGGCACATGGCAGCTGGCCGGCACTGACAATCATTGCAGCATTCTGGGATTTCTTGATCGCCCTTTGCAATCTTCCCAGCCAGTTACCGACAAGCAAAGTCAACGGGGGGAAGTTGGATTCGCTTAAGGACTGCACGATTTGCTTAACGACTGCAGCAATTTGCTTAATTAACTATGGCAAAAATGGTGATATCATCTGGTGTAACTCACCCAAAAACCTGCCTTGCTTAGCAAGTGAAATTTTTTTCCCAACTGTGGTCGTAAGTCGAAAACTGCCCGTAGCTGACAGTCCAGCTCACCCTGGTGTCACGTCTCTCTTTCCTAGGTTTGCGGTGGCAACTCCTGAAGAATTGGCCTCCAACAACGATGACTGTGCTATTTGCTGGGATTCCATGCAGGCCGCCCGGAAGCTCCCTTGCGGCCACCTCTTCCATAAGTAAGTCCTGGGGGGGGGGGGAACACAAGGCAGGATAGAATAAGTTGCCTGCTCTCCTCACGAAATGCCGATTGGCTGCCATTTCATCCATGGCAATAAAACTTCAGCTGAACTTCTCAGCACTGTTGTGAGTCTTGATAAGCTTAACGGCATACACCGAATATAAATAAATCAGGATGACGATTTATTTGCATGATTACATTGGTCGTCCTAAGTATCTCCAAAATCAGATTGGGGTACCCTGTAAACCTGATATCTGAACGTTGTTTCTTTGTATTTACCAAATATGTACGTATTTTATTACTGTATTTTCTTTTATCTCTTGCCCTAGAGTTAGATCCTGTATTTTATTTTTTATTTTTTTTGATAACGTTCATAAGACTAATCGATATATCATCTGTTTTGTCTGTTTGTCCATCCATTCAAAAATCATTTATTGTATTATGTACTTTCACCAAATTTTCAGCATTCTCGCCTCCAAACCTTGGAAGATTTCCCTATTCTCAACTGAAATCTTACAGAACATTGATAATTTTGGACTAAAATGTTGCAAGGTTTTGTTGTTTTTTAATCTGAAATATTTTGGAAGTTTGGGCAGGAACATTGAGATATGAGATTTGGCCACTTAATATTATGTGTTTTAATGGGTCTCCTGTCACCAGTGAAAGTCTGAGTTTTTGGGAAGGTTTTGTGTGACTTGGCCGAAATTGCCATTCCTGTGTGTTGTGTAAACCCAACCTTAGTATTTGAAGTCAGCAAGATTGTGTGATTTTGATGGATGCTTCTCCTGCTTTTCCCATTCTGGTCTCAAGGCCACTTTGTTGTCATTCATTGCAAGCTGCGCCACAAATATTTGCCGGTGTTTTAAGCAGGATCTAATAAGATAATTACTCTCTACTTGCCAGCATTTGCGTTCCCTTGAGTAGCCTGCCCCCGCCCCTTCAGCCTTGTTTTTCCGTGTACCTTGAAAGGAATTATTTCTTTCCTTGGGAGATAAACTTAATTTAGGAGAAGAGCAGGCAGAGCCGAGGGTGGAGTTAAACAAGTCATGAGCCTAGAGTCATTACGTTCCCACAAATGGTCCAAGTCCAACCCTTCTTGAATTCCATGGACCTATATCTGGTGCCAGTTTAGTACTAAACTTATTCTTGTGTGTAGGCTTGAGCAATAAATCTCAACTGAAACTCAACATATGGTCCTGATCCTTTGCCCCTGATACTTAGGGCATCATTTCTATCTTTGTCATAATGAATCAAGTGTGATGTTTAGCTTTATTAAATCTCTCGGTCTCCATAGAGTTGAGGGTGGAGAATACAGATTGTCCTTGATATACAACTGCAATTGACCCCAAAATTACGGTTGTAAGTTGTTGCGATGGTAAGTTGAGTCTGTCAAGCCTCGAAGAACACGTATGCTGTTTCAGCCACGGTTGCTTCTTAGCTTGCCTACGAACTTGGGGGGAGATGAGGGGAGAATGGTATGCAGACTTCTGATATCAAGAGTCCATGAGAACCAAGGACTTTCAAGATTTGTTTACTGAGAACTAAAAACTTTATCTCATAATAATTATCTGGCTTCATTATTCATAAGCCGGAGTTTGAAACTCATAACTGACTTTCTCATCTCTATAGCTACAGCTATAGATTGGTTTCCAATTAAAAAAAAAAAGATTTTGACCATCTACAACAGAATATCCACAGCAGAACTGGACAAGCTTTGATCATAGAAGGAAAAAAGTCATGCATAATGTGATGACGATAGTGTTGGTGATGAGGATGATGGATCATTTACATGTTTGATTGCTTCCTTGGTGATGACAAAAACAAACCTAGAACATTAGGACTGGAAGGGACCTTGGGGGTCTTCCAGTCCAACCCCCTGCTCAAGGCAGAAGACCTTATACCATCCCAGTCAAATGGTTGTCCAGTCTTTTTTAAAAACTTCAGCAAATTTCAGGAAATTTCTCCTCACTTCAAGGTTGCATCTCTCTTTGACAAGCTTCCACCCATTACTTCATTGTCCTGCCCTCTGGCACTGTGGAGAACAAGTTAATCCTGTCTTCTTTGTATATAATATTTTATTAATTTTCTGCTATTACAATTCCTTAGTGCTTAATGAACAACGTGTTGTCTGGGTTAATTTATTATGTTTAGTAATACCAATTAAGTTCTTACTCTCTGTCCCATTTTTCCAACTGTTGATAAAATAGGTCCCATGTTTGATAATACTTTTTATATTCTTGTTCATTAATTCTCAGTGTAAGTCTATCCATTTCCGCACAGTCCAGCATTTTCTTAATTATCTCTTCCTCCCATGGTGTTTTTTTTCATTTTTCCAGTGCTATGCAAATACAATCCTCACTGCCAATCCCCTTTTCTTTGTGACAGCTGCTCAAATACATGGTAGTCCTCGACCTAACAACCTAAGAATTGACCCCAGAATTTATGTTACCAGGCGAGAAATTCGTTAAGTGAGTTGTGCCCCATTTTACAACATTTCTTGCCACATTTGTTAAGCGAATCACGGCAGTTGTGAAATTAGTAACACGGTTGTTAAGTGAATCTGGCTTCTCCGTTGACTTTGCTTGTCAGAAGGTCACAAAAGGGGATCATGTGACCCCGGGGAGGCTGTGACCATCATAAATATGAGTCAGTTGCCAAGTGTCTGACTGTGACTGTAGGGATGTTGTAATGGTCAGAAGTGTTAAAAATGCTCAAAAGTCACTTTTTTCACTGGTGTTGTGACTTAGAATGCTCACAAAATGAACTGTTTTAAGTGGGGGATTATCTGTACTGGAAGACAGTTATTGTGTCTGCTCTGATCCTTCTCTTCGATAAACTAGAGCAGGGGTAGGCAACCTTGGCTCTCTTATGACTTCTGGACTTCAACTCCCAGAATTCCTGAGCCAGCCATGCTGAGGTTTCCAAGCTGAGCCATGCTGGCTCAGGAATTCTGGGAGTTGAAGTCCACGAGTCATAAAAGAGCCACGGTTGTCTACCCCTGAACTAGACATTTCCACCGTGGCTCCCTCAACCGTTCATCACAGAAACATTTCTTTCATTACGAACAAAGACACATATACAGATATTAGTAAACCAAAGAATCTTTAATACCCCACAGACAGGCAAGACACCAGAATATAAACTGACAGCAAGTGGCTCTCCTTACTACGTAGCACTGATGATGTTACCTAGTTAGGGTCATGAAACCTCTGCAAGAAAACCAGCAAGCTCTTACAAACATTCCTTTCATTCTCTAGTCTAAGGAAATCCATGTAGGTTTTTCTCTTCCTTCTTAGCTCATGCCTGCGCTCCTGGCTCGAGCAGGACACCTCTTGCCCGACCTGTAGGATGTCCCTGCACATTGCAGACCACCAACAGGCTCCAGAGGATCACCAGAGGGAGAACCTGGATGAAAACCTGCCCCCTGTGGCAGCAGCCGAAGGAAGGCCTCACCTCAACCAGCACAATCACTTCTTCCACTTCGATGGTGAGTTCACGTCCTCCGGTATCTTCACTGGCCTGAAATATCTGGGCGGTTGAGAAGATTCGGCAGCTTAACTTAACGTGCATCTGGTGAAGAGTTGTGGGGCATTGACTCACAAATATTTGGTCTGACGGGAAAATATTCCAGAAGGGGGGACCATTTATGATATAAGCATTCTTAGGATGGTTTCATACATGCAATACTCCATGACCTAAAGGTCTAGGGAAATGGCCAGACCTTGATAGACTTCCTAAAGCTCAGCAGAGTTGGGAACAACCCTTTGTTTTACATTAAGTTTCTTGAACATTGACTGATCTTTAGCTAAATAAGTGTTGGCATGCCGTACGTGAACCTGTGTGGAAAACCACAGAGAGGACAAGGAAGGGGAAGGGTCCTTCACAGATCTTCTGGTTTCTCTTCTCCAGGGTCTCGCATTGCTAGCTGGCTCCCAAGCTTTTCGGTCGAGGTGATGCACACCACAAACATCCTTGGGATCGCTCAGGCCAGCAACTCTCAGCTCAACGCCATGGTGAGCCCTCCCCCCCCCCCAGTTTATATTTTGTTGCTGTAAAGAAATCCTGTCTGTAGCGTCATCCATTTGGGGGGCCTCCAAAAGTTAGCCCCTCTCTTATAGCCTAAACGTTTACAAACTATCGTCCATTGCTGTGGAATAAATGATGGAGAGAAAAAGATTTACCTCGCGACTGGGGAATTCCACACACCTGAAAGTGACTGAGATTGAGAAATATTGGGCCAAATACAGGTAGTCCTTGAACTTAACGATCACAATGGAGCCCGGAATTTCTGTGGCTAAGTGAGACAGTTTTAAAGTGAGTTTTGCCCACTTTTACGATCTTTTTTTTTTTTGCAACAATTATTAACTGAATCACTGCAGTTGTTAAGTTAGCAGCATGGTTGTTAAGTGAAACTGGCTTCCCCATTGACTTTGCTCGTCAGAAGGTCGCAAAAGCTGATCACTTGACTCTGGGATGCTGCAACCGTCATAAGTACAAGTCAGTGGCCAAGTGTCCGAATTTTGATCACATGACCGTGGGGTTGCTGCACTGGTCATAAGTGTGAAAAATGTTCACAAATCCCCCTTTTTTTTCAGTTGTAACTTTGAATAGTCACTAAACGGACTGTTGTAAAGTCATAAAAAAATGCCGATCTGGATGGTTGGAGATTTTTGTCAGCTGATGTAATTCCTGAGCAATTTTGGCGTGGTTTTCCTAGGCCCATCAAATCCAGGAGATGTTCCCCCAGGTTCCTTACCACCTCATTCTCCAGGACCTGCAGCTGACCCGCTCGGTAGAAATAACAACCGACAATATTTTAGAGGGACGCATCCAGGTGCCTTTCCCAACACAGGTGGGTCCAACACAACAGACTATGAACTGGGCAAGATACTTGGGCGGGGGGAGTTCAAGGGCACTGCACTTTTCTGGACATGGAGCTCCGACGGCATTCCCGGGATCTCTTGGAGTGCCTCTCCCTGCTTAAGGGGTCCCAGCTGTGAGTTGCTCCTACACCCCGGGGCCTTTCCTTTCCAAATCCTCTCCAAGTCCTCCTTCAAGCCCTGGAACGTCTCTGGCTTCTCCTGCCCCTTCTCCCTGGTGCGGCTTTCACTTGGCGCTGCTACATCTGTCACCACTGTCTTGTGATCCTTGTCGTTGTCTACTATCTATATGGTCTTCTGTCAGTCTTTCTATCATCTCTCTCTCTCTCTCTCTCTCTCTCTCTCTCTCTCTCTCTCTCTCTCTCTCTTTCTCATTTATTTGTTTATTTATTATGAAATTTCTTTTCTGCCCATCTCATATTCAATGTCTCTGGGCAGCTTATAGCAGACAACATTGAAACGTTAAAAACCATTACAATCAAAAATCATAGAACACACTGGATAAAATCATTAACAAATAAAATCATTTAGCACCATCTATCATTTCTCTCTCTCTCTCTCCCTCTCTCTCTCCTATCGTCTCTCTGTCTCTCCATCCATCCATCCATCCATCCATCCATCCATCCATCCATCCAACCAACCAACCATCTCTCTCTCTCTCTCTCTCTCTCTCTCTCTCTCTCTCTCTCTCTCTCTCTCTCTCCCTACCTACCTACCTACCTACCTACTTTTATCATCTATCTAATCTACCTACCTACCTACCTAATCTATCTAATCCATTCCCCCCCCTCAAAATACAGTATATATAATTCAGGAATACTGTGTGCATTCTGCACCACAGATATTTTGAAAGATTAGCTGGATTAAAACTGCACCCTCTGAATTCCCAGTTCCTTTGTTAGGATGGTTCACAAGCACGTGGAAGGTCTTTAAAAGTCTGTGTGGTTTACTCCATCCATTTGGAATTGTTTTGTGTGGTGGCGTATTGTCAAACCTGGTTGGGATGAGCTGTGTGGAGTCTTTTCTATTCTACCTAGTCAACTCACCTAGTCAATCCTGAATGTTGTTGGGTTTGATTAAAAGAACAAAGTGTTTTTGGAGTAGGGTGAAAATTACTTTTCATATTATTCCATAGTCATAGGCCTTGGCAAAAAAAAAAAAAACCCTCTGAATTTCCTATTGTCAGGGATATGAAATTGAACATATAACGCTGAAGCTTTAAGACAATACAATTGTTGTCCAAAAGATATAGGGAACAAAATCATCAAATAACTGCCAGATATTCTTTTCAAAGGAAGATGATTTTGTGGATTGATTTCTTCAAGCTGTGGTGTGTCCATGTGTCTTATTTGTGTTATCTTGTTTAACTGGTAGATAGATGTGTGTAATAACCATGTAAGAAGCTACCATAGAGTTGTGACATAATGTAATGGTATGCGAGAAAGAGGTTATGGAGGTGGGGAAAGAGATGCTGGCTAGGAAATGATCAGATAAGAGAGGGCATAGCCCGCAGCTCTAGAGTGGATGGAGCAAGAGGCTCAGAAGGGACCTTTGCCAGTTTCTCAGGCTCTAAAAGAGACAGTAGCAGATTTGTACTTTCAAACTTGCACAATTCTGTTAATGTAGCCTTACAACAAAGTAGAATTAACTCATCTGGTTTCCTGTCTGGTCTACTTGGTAACAGTGAGTATTTACAGTTGTAAAGACCACACAAGCTTTTAAAGACCTTCCATGGGTTTGTGAACCATCCTTACAAAAGGAACTGGGAATTCAGAGGGTGCAGTTTCAATTCAGCTAATTCTTCAAAATGTCTATGGTGCAGAATGCACACAGTATTTCCTGAATTATACATTAGACCAGTGGTGGCGAACCTATGGCATGTGTGCCAGAGGCGGCACTCAGAGCCGTCTCTGAGGGCACACGTGCCGTCACCCCAGCCCCGCCTCCCCCCGTGGCCCTTCCTCACCAGCAGCCCCCCTAGAGGAAAGTTGCCCCCCCTGGGCAGTGTAGCCAAGAACATAGCTGGGAAGCAGGGACAAGACTCCGGCCTTGTGCCCCATAGCGTGCAGATGATGCTGCGGAGTGTGGGCTGCCATGGCGCTGCAGGGTTGCCTGGGCAATCTGCAGCAGGCCATGGAGGCAGTGTGTGGCCCTGAGGGTGGGCAGGGCAGGGGGTGGACAGGGGCGGAACAGGTAGGGCGGGAGGTGGAGTGGGGGCGGGGCGGGTTTTGGGCACTCGGTCTCTAAGAGGTTTGCCATCACTGCATTAGACAGACAGATGATAGATAGATAGATAGATAGATAGATAGATAGATAGATAGATAGATAGATAGATGAGAGATAGATGAGAAACAGGTAGCTAGATGAGAGAGATGAAGAGGGAGAAGGAGGAGATAGATAGATAGATAGATAGATAGATAGATAGATAGATAGATAGATAGATAGATAGAAGTCTTTATAGCCTTGCAAGTCTGATAAATGACTTATTAATCTTTATGAACTATAAACTTTATAGTTTATAAAGATGAATGTGCAAATACAAATATATATTACTTCCCACAAGGAAAAAAAGTAGAGATGGTTGAATTCCCTCTTTATTTAAAATAAAGAATATATCTAATATTGTTTCCACTTGGAAACCACTTCTAGATTTTGTGCTTGAAATGGAAAAAAAATGAAATTTTGGGTTTTGCTGATTAAATAGGTTTGTTGTTATAGAAATGGCTCGTACATATTAGATAAAAGCAAAAATTTGAGGCTGTAATGTTATTATCTTTTACTCTGCTAAAAAGAGTCAGAAGTCAATGTTTTTCTTTTCTTTTTTCCCTTTTTTCCTACCTACACTTCTTTTTTTCCACCCCTAGTTCCCCATTATTTTCATTTTTCTTTTGTGTTTTCTATTCTGATAAACTAATAAAATTTGAACAAAAAAAATAATAATCAGTCCGTGTTCTCCATGGCCTTGGGATGGGAGCTTCAGCAGGATCCATTATGCAACTTTAAGTGCTTACAAAAAAGGAAGTTTTCATGTTTTCCATATCAGTTAATTATGTTTTTTTTTTTAAAAAAAAAAACGATGCACAGCGTTCTGACAGTATCCGACCAGCTTTGAACAGTCCTGCAGAAAGGCAGAGTACCGATCAAGAAGAAGCTGAGGAGGACATGGAGGTAATGTGGGAAAAAAAGGATGTAATAAAGAGCTGTGGTGGCGCAGTGGTTAGAATGTAGTATTGCAGGCTAATTCTGCCCACTGCCAGCAGTTCGATCCTGACCGGCTCAAGATTGACTCAGCCTTCCATCCTTCTGAGGTCGGTAAAATGAGGACCCAGATTGTTGGGGGGCAAAAGGCTGACTCTGTAAACCATTTGGAGAGGGCTGTAAAACACTGTGAAGCAGTATATAAGTCTAAGTCAGGGGTGGGCAACCTTGGCTCTTTTATGATTCGTGGACTTCAATTCCCAGAATTCCTGAGCCAGCCATGCTGAGGAGAAAGGAAGAGGTTTCCAAGCTGAGCCATGCTGGCTCAGGAATTCTGGGAGTTGAGTCATAAAAGAGCCAAGGTTGCCTACCCCTGGTCTAAGTGCTAGTGCTGTTGCCCTTCCTTCTATCCATCCATTCATCCTTAGAGGGCTAAGATAGGGCTGTAAAGCACCGTGAAATGGTATATAAGTCTAAGTGCTATTGCCCATCCATCCATGATGTGCAGTGGTTAGAATGCAGTAGTGCAGGCTGACTCTGCCCACCGTCAAGGAGTTCAATCCTGACCAGCACCAGGTTGACTCAGAATTTCCATCCTTCCGAGATTGGTAAAATGAGGACCCAGATTGTTGGGGGGCAAAAGGCTGACTCTGTAAACTGCTTAGACAGGGCATCAAAGTACAATGTGCTTTGATGCGGTATATAAGTCTAAGTGCTATTACAATTGCTATCTGTACAGAGAGAGTTTTCTCTGTAGCGAATTGGCTGAACCAATTCCTTCAGGACAGGGATGCACACTTTTTACAGCTTTTTACAATGTTCCCCCCCCCCCCCGTGTGTGCATTTTGTTACCAACTGCCAATTTCCGTCCGTAAGAAACGTGTTGACCGAATTCATAAACGAACAAATGCAAACGGCCCTTGGTTTTCTTTTCTCCCTTTCGCCCTGCCTGGCAGATGGCAAGGATCCTGCTTGAGCTCAGTTCAAGGCTGGAAGACACGGCGGCATTTAATGAAGCGGAAGCTGCTGAGACGGAGGACTTCGAGGTGAGAGGCAGCCGTTTCTCCAAGTCGGCTGATGAGAGGCAGAGGATGCTGCTTCAAAGGAAGGAGGAGCTGTTGCAACAAGCACGCAGGTTTGTGTCTGGAGGAGGCTCTGGGAAAGTTGGGATATTTTCTCCCCCGTGGTTCCCCCAACCACAGGCCATACACAACATTTACAGAGCCTTCCTTTCCTGAAAGATCCATTGAGAAGATTTAGCAAAAAAGAACTAGAGGCACGTTTGGATATTTTGATACTACTGTGTGATTGTTTGATTCTGCTGTCACTAGTCTAGACCTTCCAACTCGGTTGTGCTGTAATTCTGTAAGGGTCTCCTGCTCGAGCAGGGGGCTGGACTAGATGACCTCCAAGGTCCTTTCCAACTCTATGATTCTGTAATTCTGGACTCTGCAGATGTCCTGTGTGTGTGTGTGTGTGTCTGAAGACCCTGTGCGCATCTCTCTCTTTGCCTATGGGAATTTGCCTGAGTGCTGAGCACAAGATGACAAGTAGTTCTTAATTTACAAGCATTCGTTTGGGTGACCGTTTAAAGTTACAACAGCACTGCAAAAAATAGTGCCAAATTTATATTGTTTAGCGAGAATTTGTTACGTGAGTTTTGTGTCCCCTTTTACGACCTTTCTTGCCACTGCAGTTGATAAGTTGGTAACCTGTTTGCTTAGTGCAAGGGTAGGCAACCTTGGCTCTTTTATGACTCGTGGACTTCAACTCCCAGAATTCCTGAGCCAGCCTGGCTCACCTTGGAAACCTCTCCCTTTCCCCTCAGCGTGGCTGGCTCAGGGATTCTGGGAGTTGAAGTCCACCAGTCATAAAAGAGCCAAGGTTGCCTACCCCTGGCTTAGTGAATCTGGCTTCCTCATTGACTTTGCTTGTCAGACACTATGACACTGCGACCGTCATAAAGACGAACTTTTTGCCAAGCATCTGAATTTTGATCACATAGCCATAGAGGAGGCTAGAAAGGCTGTAACTGTGAAAAACGGTCATAAGTCACTTCTTCCAGTGCCGTTGTTACTTTGAACGGTCACTAAAGTCGAGCACTTCCTGTAGTTGCTGATGTGTTGATTGAGCGCAGCCGAAAGACACTTTGTTCAACAAAGCGAAGTGGCAGGCAAGCCCAAGAGCGATCCCTGTAATGGCCACAAAAATCTCTTCCTGTTTTTCCAGGCGCTACCTTGACAAAAGCTCTGACGGTCCCATCCCGGATTTCTCCTCCCAGGCGGAAGGAGCAGCCTCCGACTCCCTCATTTTGCGACGCAGGATGTTGGCCGCCGCCGCCGAGCGGAGATTACAAAAACAGCATCCGTCCTAACGCCTCCGGCCCGCTGTTCCTTCCCCATCGGTAGCCTAGATAGTCATCCCTCGCTCTTCTTGCTGGGATCTCGTCCCGAGCTCAGCAAACCATGGGCGGCGCTGGGGACCAGGGATCAGGTTGGCTGTGCCTCCCAACTCTTGAAAAAAAAAAAAGCGCATGCGATCGCTCCTAAGTGTTTGGACGGCTGACCCCTTTCGCTTTTTTCTCGGGTTTCTTGATTTCTTTGAGGTTGGGTTTTTCTCTCTTTTTCTTTTTCAGGGGGCGCCTATCCCTACGTCCACCCTTGAGCAACTTTTCAAGCTTACTGTTGCAGGAAGGGGAGAGGAAAGAGGGGGGCACGCGTGTTTGTGGACTGTGTGAGTGACAGTCCCTTGCCAATATGACGTCCCCGTGAAGCTCTTTTGAGAAGTAGTGGAATAAGTGAGAAGTGAAGGGTTATATATTTTTAAAAGAAATGGTCGTCTCCTCCTCTTCCTCCTCCTCCTCCTCCCCCCCCTCCATGGCTGCTGGCTTTTTTCATCCCCAACCTATGCAGCATCATTTTGGTAAAGGAGACATTTCTGCAGGTTGGGAAGCAAAGCGTGCTAATGTGCAGCATCAGAGCAAACATTTTGCTTCTGTTTCAAAAAGACTCGAAGCATGATGTTCAGATTCCCTCCCCTCCTAGCCATGGAAAGTTTGATCACCTCTGGGTTGCTTTTCCCGAGAGGCAGGCAAGAAGATTCAGTTTAACTGTGGCTAGCATTCAACATTCAACGTGGAGGTAAATTGCAGAGAACCCCCTGCTGACTTTCAGAAGATGGCATTTCCTTACGACAGGCGGGGCAGCCTGCAGAATTTATTATTTTTTTTTAAGTGTACATTTCACAATAACGTTAGCTTGGTAAGATGTACAGGCTCAAAAGACTGGAGGGCTATTTGATACGTAGTTAGGTATGTTGCAGCAGTTCTCCAATCCTTAAATTGCTAGTAAGTATGTCGGAAGCCTTTTAGGTTTTGGGCTTCGTAAATATGTTTACAGTGCAAGGCAAGTCATTTTTAAGTGTTTCAGGAGAATCCCCTGTATCCAGAAAAAGCTCCAGTATTAATGAAAAAAAAAAGGAATTTCTTTCACTGCTAGATTTTTAGGACATTTAAAGGTGAATACCGTATAAGAAAACTGGACAGTGTTTAAGTGAGGATAATTTATTTCGATATACCCTTTGCAAAGCCTTATTTTTCAATGCTGTTTAAACTTTGGAAGGGGAAAAAATACAGACTCTTTTGTGGCTCAGTTTTTGCTCAGAACTCAGCTCTTCGTTTTTATTGTTTTAAAAAAGGAAAATAAAAACTCTTTGATCAGTGTTTGGAAAGGTTTCAGTTGTCTTTTTCTGCCCCTTTCGCTTCACACTTGCTTCCTACCGGTCAGTTTCACCTCAGGAAATCTTCTGAGCTCTACAGGTGAGTGTGTGTGAACATTCAGTGGCAAAGCTTGTGCAGTTGTCCCTGCAGAGAGTTGAGTTCTTTGCTGAAAGCAAAGCGTATTTCTGAATTTCCTACTGTGATGTGTTGACATTTTCATGTGAAGCGGCTTAACACTTCAGCACAAATTATGTTGGTTTTTTTTTTTTTTAATCTTGATGTAGCATTGTCCCACCACTGTGGGGGTATCAGCCCATCTTTTGTGACCTTTGCCCTCCTAAAACTAGGATTTCTTCTCATCATGGAGAGCTTGTCCATCTCTTAGTGATATAGTTTGTCAGACCTGCAACGAACTTAAACCTCTAAGTATGGCTCCATTTGTTGAGAAAGATATATTTTTATTAGAGATAAAGTGTATTGCAGTAATGCATAGCCATAACTGTGTGGCAAAATCCCTGTTATGCTTTCCCTTCCTTAATTGTCTTTCCTTTCCCACCTCAAGGTAACCAATTAAAATCTTGCAAGCTGTTCTCCTAGCGGTCAATTCAGGCATGCTCTGGTATGCTATTCCCTCCTTATTCCAACTGGGTGACCTTGAAGCAGCTTCTCAGAATGACACAGGACTTACTTTTGATTTCCCAATCATGCCCCCTTCCCCGTAACTAATTTCCTGTCAGAGAGAACAATTAAATCAGTGGAGCGACTTATCTCCAGAAGTTATGAATGCTCTAACACTGGAAGTTTTTAAGAAGAGATTGGACAGCCATTTGTCTGGAATGGTATAGGATCTCCTGACTGAGTAGGAGGTTGGACTAGAAGACCTCCAAGATCCCTTCTAACCCTATTATTCTATGTTCTGGTCCCACTTTAGGCACAAAGCAAACTGGGTGATGGATGAAGTTTGGACCAAAAGACTTCCAACGTTTCTTCCAACACTACTATTCTGTGTTCTGTTTTCTAGCTGCCTGGCCATTAAATTTATGGAATGGCCTCCGGGAATCCCTGGATAAAATCTGGCTTCCAAGAGGTTTTCTCTCTCTCTTAACAACATCATAGTCTGAAATATACCCCAGCACAGAGATTCAGGCCAGGGTAATGCGGCGTTTACTAATTTAAAAGCTTTGAAAAAAGTAGAGAGAGAAGGAGAGGACCTTGCAAGATTATAGGTAGCTTCATTACTCTGTTATTCTGACTTTGCTGCTCATCGGTTGACTGGTCTGAGCAGCTTTAAAATGTTCTTCACACCGTGATCTTTTAGCAACAGGCTTATTTCCCCTCACTGTCTCTGCACTGCCTGTTGGACACATGGAAAGAGGCAGTGGTGCAGAAAGGAGGGAAAAAAAGCTTTGCATTAGCCACGCTCTGAAGATAAGAGCTGAACCGGAGAAGCTGATTTTGTACACTTCCTGGTTCCTCTTCCCGCATTGCCTGAAAACCAGCTGTCCGTGGCCAAAAATTGCAGCCATGACTTTGCAAAGAGGTCTTGGAAGGAACACTGCCCGGAGTATCTGTCAAGCACCATTTTCTGTCACAATCAGCTGAGGGCTCTGATCCAAGTTGAGCCTGGGTCATGAGCCCTCTAGGGCAGTGATGGCGAACCTTTTAGAGACCGAGTGCCCAAACTGCAACCCAAAACCCACTTATGCATCGTCGGGTGCCGGGTGGGTGTGGCCCATTGGGTGGGCGTGGCCCATTGGGTGGGCATGGCTGTGGTGGTAACACCAGACTGGATGGGACTAAAAAGTTCAATCAATCAATTCCAACTTTGCAAGATCTTTTTTTTTTCCATGAAAAGTTGAAATTGACTGATTGAACTTTTTTTTTTTTTTTTTTGCAGATGGCGGATGAGGCCTAAAGCGAAAAGGTTTTATGAAACCCAGCTGAAGGCCTAGGACTGGGGCGACGGCGTGCGTGCCCACAGATAGGTTTCTGAGTGCCGCCTCTGGCACCCGTGCCATAGGTTCGCCACTACTGTCCTAGGACAACAGAAGGGGAAATGTCCCTTGCCATTTAGGGACAGGGCTGCAACTGTTCAGAACTGGAAGGGCTTTGAGGGTGGAGAATGGATCTGCTAGTTGAGCTTTGGCTGTGGTGAGTTGACCATGGTGAATTGGCTGCGGCGAGTTGTCCCATTCCCTCTAGGTCAGGGGTCTTCAAACTTGGCCCTTTTATGACTTGTGGACTTCAACTCCTAGAATTCCTCAGCCAGGCACGTGAGGGCCAAGTATGAAGACCCCTGCTCTAGGTGATGGTACAGCAGGTCACACACTTCTAAATTACTCAATATCTCGGCTGCCAGCTTCTTCTTATCATACTTCCATCCCTGAGAATCATAGAATCCTAGTGCTGGAAAGGACCTTGACCTTCTAGTCCAATCCCCTGCCCAAAGCAGGAGACTTTATACCATCTTAGACAAAACACTTATCCAATCTTGAAAATCTCCAGCGATGGAGCATCTACAACTCCAGGAGGCAAGTTGTTCCATTGCTTAATTGTTCTCACCGTGGAAGTTCCTCCTTAGTGTTAGATTGCATCTCTCTTTAATGATCTTTCACTGTTTACTTCTTGTCCTACCCTCTGGTGTTTTGGAGAATAAATCGGCACCCTCTTCCCTGTGGCAGCCCCTCAAGTATTGGAAGATGCTATGATGTTTCCCCTATGTGTTCTCTTCATTAGGCTAAACACAGTTAATTCTCTCCCAAGAGTTTCTTTATCTGAAAATGCCAACTGGACAGTTGACAGTGACCAACTTGGCAACCCAACCAATTTTCCCTTGCCCCCAAATACATGAAACCAGAGCAGTGCATGGTAGTAGCTTAAATACATTTGTGAGATAATTATAGTTCTAGGGCTTAGAATCATAGAATTGAAAGGGAGCACAGAAGTCTTCTAGATCAACTCCTGCCCAAGGTGGTCCTCTCTTTAATTTGGCCTACTAACAAGAGATTAAAGAAAGATAAGAGGACTGTCAACAAACCCTTAGGACATGCCTTCACACTCATGTCTTCTCCAAAAGAAAACCACAGCTAAACAATAATCAGAAGGAGAAAGAGGAAGACTCTTGGTGATACAGACAAACATTCTCTTTATTAAGCTACACATGAATTTTTCCATTAGTCAGAGAAAGAAATTGGCAGTGTCTAATAGATCACAGAAACCTCACCAATTGGTAATAGAAAGGCTTAGAAAGATCTGGCATTTTTTTTAGAGATGTGTTTAGGTTTTGTTTTTTTGTGTGTGTGTTTGTGTGTATATATACGTTTAGTTTTCTTCTGTATTTTTTTTCCAGATTTTAATCAAAAAGGGTGCAATTGGCTTTTTTCCAGCAAAGGTACTTCTGACAGGTGAAATGTGAAGATCTCTGATTGCTTAATCAGAGTAGAAATGACAAAACATTGGTCATGAAAATGGTGGCTTTTAAAATAATAGAAACACTACATTCGGTTTTGTTTTTCATATTTTTTTTTTCATTTTTTGTTGCTTTTTATGTCTGTTTTTAATTTTTATATCTTTTTTCCTAGTTTTTTTGTCTTTTTTGTTTGTTTTTGCAGCACAAACAACCCCACGAGAGAGAGAGAGAGAGAGAGAGAGAGAGAGAGAGAGAGAGAGAGAGGGATACCACCACAAAACGAAAGGATTGGCAGAGAGGAAAAAGGGAATGAAAAGCAAGATGAAAAAATCGATTCACAGGGAGCATGGAAACTTTAAAAAAATAAAATGAAATCAGATTCAGAGAGTGGAATTAAAAACAAAAAAAGAGATCCTCCCAGCTCAATTAACCTGTTTCTACAAAAAAGGACTGAAAACGGGTGTTTGGTACAAAGTGGCCTTTGAAGCAGAACAAACATCAAAACAAGATCACAGAGAGAATCTCGGCCCCTTGGACCAGTGACAGCTGTGCTTCTTTAGAAATGAAATACAAAACCAGAGAATCAACGAGACAAGCAGAACAATCATTATTAACCCTCCCCCCCCAAAGAAAACGTACCCCGTTTTGTTGGCCGGTCCTAAAATGATGGTTGTGCCCATGGGGGCCTTGAGAGGACTTCCATGGAGGATCAAGGGGTAGGAGAGGGTTGCAAATATGTATAGCAATGACTGTGACTATGAAAATAAACCTGGATATTGCCCATTGGTATCTCCTGGCCATCTTGGTGCATCTAAATCTATCTCGTGTTGGTTTCAAACCTAAGGTGTGGGAAATGTATTGGTCGTAGTGCCTCCCTTTCTCCGTGTCTTGTGGACAAAAAACAGCACCTGTTATGATAGGGAGGAAGGATTGGGAGGCAAGACCAAAATTCCCATAACTTCTGGATCCTTTGCTCTATTGCCTATTACGAGGTGGGCAACTCTGCAGCTCCTCTGGCTAATTTCCAAAAAACATTCACTAAAGCAAAACAAAGACGCCCCTTTTAACCATCAAGGCTCTGATGGGGCCATCGTAACCATCTCGGATGGAAGCTGCCTTCCTCAGAAATGGTCCACCCCATTGGTGTGTTTTTTGTGTGTGTGGAGAGAGGGAGCGAGCAAAAGGTGGCATGTAGGTAAGTCTGTGTGTAGATATGAAGGTGTGGTTGGGTGCTTGCATGTGTCAGCAGGAAGGACCTGAGGACTCCTTCTGTTTTTCCCCAGCACTTATGTCGAGCAAATTTTTTGATTATTCTCATGTTCTCTTTTGGAGTTGGCTTGTTTGCCTCCCAAATAGCAAGAGTTGGGCAAAGACTCCCTTACATTGCATCTCACAAAACTAGCCACGATTCTAACACAGCAGGACACATCAAGGCAATGCAAAAAAGCTTGGGTCACCTTGAGGCTGGAGTTTGGGAGCAGAAGGTCTACTCTAGAAAGACAGACAAGGTCAGAAGATGGTTTGGGCCCTGAACACAAATGCGGGGTTGCATGCATGGATGGGGATACCCCAAAGAAGCACTAAAAGGAACCCCTC